GAAGATGCCGAATCTTACATACAGTTTAAAGTACAAACAACCCATACGAAACAAAATAGGAATATTATACATTGGAAATTGGAGATATCACACAGGGTAAAAAGTACTTGTGTAATACAAAAAGACAACAAAATATTGTCTTTGATCTTACGAAGTCTTAAAAAAAATAACAAGTTACAAATGTAAAATTGTTCTAATGTTGTCTTCAAGTGTTATTTATAATACATCCTTGTTGAGCGTTAAGTGTCTTGTTGGAAATTTAACGAGTTTTTTCTTTTATTTTAGCTCATATTATTATCCGCAGGTCAGCATAAGTACTGCAATATTTAACTTGTTATATGCAGTTATTATGTAAATAAATTATTATCGAGCACAAAACTGGAGAAGTTTCTTATAGCGATAGTTTATTTCATCATGGAACTTTCACGTGATTCGATTTTTTTCTTTTTTTTTTATACCATAAAAAAATAAAAAATACAAGTGACTGTCAAAGTCAGATTTAGTACCAAGTACTTGTTGTATCATATCAGTTGATATTGTACTGTATTTCAATACAAAAATAGTTTGTCTTTTGAAAATACGGAATTTGTGTTATTAAAATTTGCTGTTACCAAATTTTGGAATTATTTTGAATTAAGGAATATATCTACCTAATACAAAGCTCTGATTCCTTGCCTGGCTTTGCCTATACATTGTTGTCCGTTTTGGTTTATAAGCTCTTCATTTATTTAAAAAGTTTTTGGATTTTCAAATATTTTGGCCTCGAGTTTAACTTAAGAGACATTTATGGTCGAATAAACCAAATATAATTGACTATTGCCTATAGTATCTGAGAAAAAGAAAAGTTACGGAAACTTAACCAATGAGCCCTTAAAATTATATCAAAATCAGATGATACCTGCCAGACAGACGATTATTCCATACACCAAATAAGATTGACTCATATTATACTCATAATTAGTGAGAAATTCATATAAGAAATAAACTGTTGACACAAAGATATGTCTCGCCTGTCGGCATAAAATCCAGAAAAAGACAATTGGATGGACAGCAACATTGCTACTTAATACAAAGTTGTTGGACCATGAACATGAGAAGGGCATCGAAAAATGGTCAACAAACTGAGATGTACGGACAGTAATGTAACTTTATAGAAAATGTAATTGTATATATATTGTAAATAGTTCCTATCAAACCAATAAAAGCAAAAAACTTAACATTGAAAATTGCTAATTAATTGAAAGTCACTGGACAATAACATAGGGGGCAGGGCCTCGAAATAGTCGTCAAACTGATATGTACTGATAGTAAAAGACTTTATATAAAATATCAATGATCTATCACAAGTATTTCATAATAATTCATATATGATTTGCATTTTGGGGAATACGTTGATATGATTGGTCGAGAGAACTTCCGGAAGTTGTTCTTGACGTTGTTTATTTTTCGATAGAAGACGTTGACCGAACTTCTTTTCGTAACCAATGTAAACAAGATGGCGACAATAATAACACAATCCGGCTCGACGTTGACCACATTTATTTTCACTTCGCGTTAATCGTTAAATTAAATAATAAACACAAAACATTCATTTGAATGATAATAAGAGTTTTTGTAGTTTATATTTTATCAGATAGCAAATTTCATGGAGTACATATTTTTGCGTTAACCAACAAATATATTCGTGCGCGAGGCTAATTCAATGACACAAATATACAATTTATGTGTGAAAGAAATTACGAGTGTAGAAAAACAAATTCCTTATCTCCAATTTTAAAGAATTATAAGGATTAAACGCCTTTTTAAAGGAATTTATTGGTGTATAAACTGGACCAAGTCACTCACAATTATATCATAAAAGTCCTTCGGACTTTTATTTGTTTGTGAGTGAATTGGTCGAGTTTATACACCAATAAATTCCTTTAAAAAGGCGTTTAATCCTATATCAAACTAACTTAAGCAGAAAACTTAACAATTGTTGACGCCATCGTCTTCGTCGTTGTCGCCGGAAAAGCAACCCCTATGTCTTGCTTTCCGCGACTTTCGTTGCAGGCGAGACAAAAACTGTACATTTTTTTAAGCAATCTATGACTGACCATGAATATAAGGCCAAGGACAATTGACACATGACAGACGTAAACGTCGTAATATAAGGTATATATATATATATACTGCCAGACAGACGATTACAGCTGATCTGTAACAATTCCACCTTCATGCCTTATATCATGTACTGTATTACGACGCTAGATTAAAACTGACGAGGAAAGGTAACACTCGGCCACCGAAAGCTTTATTATGTGAAGCCTAGGTGGTCGTGTGGTCTAGCGCGTCGGATACAGTGCAGGCGATTTGGTGTCACGATATCTCAGTAGCATGAGTTCGAGTCCCGGCGAGGGAAGAACAAAAAATTTGCGAAAGCAAATTTACAGATCTAACATTGTTGGGCTGATGTTTAGACGAGTTGTATATATACAAGGTATAAAACATCAAGGGATTCTACCTTCTGAAATTAAAGCTTTATACAAATAGTTTACGCCGGCGCCTGAATAGTATCCCTATGTCTCGCATTAGGAGACTTTCGTCTCAGTCGATACAAAAACTACATTCGAACGTGGATAAAATGGAAATGCAAAAGCAGCACTTTATCCGATAGTTCTGACTTTGAACATACATTATATATATATGTTTCGTAACTTCCAAGATCAGATGGTCCCGGCTTTGACCAGGCACATACATTATGTTTCTTAACTTCCCCATTCAATTAGTACTCAGTGGAGTACAAAGCCATATAGTGTGTTGCGAGGTTAGACTTGTTAGAACTCAACAACGAGGCAGTAAATATCTTTGATGCATTCTCGCTTATGATTGTTTTACTTCTATTAGAGTAAAACGCTAGTATTGAACTGATTTTTACTATATTTTTTTTACATAATACCTTTTGTTATTCCAATGGTCGAGAATAAAAGGGGAAGTGTTGAGTTCTCTAAAATATAGTAACACCGTCACGTGTTCATGTGCCTGGCCTATGTCCGGAACTCTTACTGACTTTTGTTATATCTTGATGTTTGTTTGTAAAAGATTTTAATTTAAAAATATGATTACTACAGCTAAAATATTGAAACGCAACCACGAGGAGAAGGCGAAATCTACAAATGTAAACGAAAATCATACAAAAAGTTATAAAACATGAAAAAGTTTTAGTTTATAATATAAATGCATCAAAGGGTAACACGGTTTATTATTTTGTATAGGATTGCGGGTGGGAGACGTGATGAATCTAATTTTTGCTTGTTAATCAAAATAATACTGCCATAAAATGTTCTATGTATAAGCTTCGATGTGAACAAACGCTGAATATTTGTCCCGGTTTACTTAACAAGAACACCCACACTCGATTACCAATATCCACATTGTTTACCTACAAACCATTTACAGGGAAGTTTGGATTGTTACTGCCAGTACAAACAGGAAAGCATTCAATGGTGCCTTTCAAAACGGAAGTTTACTGCGGAAACCAAAGTCCGCGTTGTTTCAAATACTATTCAATTGTCAAAAAAATTTAACCAGAATCTAGACTATCAATTATTCCGCTGTCTCTCGTGTGCCGCCGAACCTCAACGGTCTTATTTACATTTTCGTGGGAAATTTCTCCATCGATTCGAAAGATTCTGTCTTACATCAACTAACGGTAGTGTATGTAACACATATTTATGTTCATGTTACAAAAGAGAGGCGAAAGATACCAAATTGATATTCAAACTCGAAAATAAACTAACAACGCCAATACGCCATGGTTAAAACGTGTTATATGGAGTCTAATATGGTCTTATCAGTAATACGGAGTTACTACACAGAGTCTGTAGACCTCGTTTTGAGAAGGTTACAGCGTCGACGAGACCGCTGAGAGTAATTTTTGAAAGGTACTTTCGGGGTTCTTTTGCTATTAACAAATTACATCAATGTCGATAAAATGTGTTTTATAAATATGTTAGTACCAATCTAGATTTGTTTGTATAAGTTTTTTTTGTTTCGTTTGGTTACTATTTCATTAACGTAAATTGCACAACTCCATGAGCCTATAATCCGTTCAGTGGTTAGTTATTCGGTTGAGATGTGAGATCATATGATGGCTGAAATTTACAATTATACACTATGCAATTTAAAATAAGTATCAGACTTAATTTTTTCCAGATTTTGCTTTAGATCTTGACTGTTCTAACTACACCAATTTTACATAGCATGCTCCCAAGAATATGTATGTTTTTGTCATTCCAAACTTAAAAACTTTAAGAATTCCCAAGTATAGAAATTGGACTCAGATTCGCCTGAGGATTACGACCCAACTCACCCCTCCTCGCTAAGGGTGTCTATGGATGTGCGTTATGTATAAAATACACAACTTGTGCCCCGTCAGGTAAGAATTGGAGGGGGGGGGGCGCTAAATCCTTATAAATCTTGTTGAGAGAGCGCAATGCTCTTTGTGAGTTGAAGAACCTTTGCAACTATTTCTGGAAGGCCAGTATGTGACTTGTTGAAAGACAAAGTTTCTGCCTCTATCCAACATTCTCTCTTTACCGGTTGCAGTTCAAATTTCTGGCCCCCATTCCGTTTGTCTACCTTTCCAGTACGTGTTGTTTAATTTTTCTCGTCTTGGAAAAAATGAAAACAACACGTTCTAAATTGCATGTGTCCGAAGCACTTTTCTGGATTTACCTTCATCAGGAACGCTCAATGCCAAATATTTGAAAGCCAAGGATGTATAAGAACCGAAACAGTTGAGGAGCTATACGACGAAAAGGGACATAAAAAATAGCCAAATCTATCTAAAGTCATCTTTGCCTAGGGGAGTTGAAACCTTAGTTTCTAAATAATTTCAAAATTTATAAACGGACAATTTTAGAAAGGTTTGTTATAAATGTACATGACATGCATGAAATATTGGCCACTGGCTGTTACATAAACAACAATCAATTCCTTTTTTGCAGTTGTTCCAGCTGTCATGGCTTTGCAGTGTTTTTAGTTGTTCTATCTGTTGTACAGTTTTTAGTTGTTCTGTCTGTTGTACAGTTTTCATTTGTTTTGTCTGTTGTACAGTTTTTAGTTGTTCTATCTGTTGTACAGTTTTTAGTTGTTCTATCTGTTGTACAGTGTTCAGTAGTTCTATCTGTTGTAGGGTTTTTAGTTGTTCTATCTGTTGTACAGTTTTCAGTTGTTTTGTCTGTTGTACAGTTTTTAGTTGTCCTGTCTGTTGTACAGTGTTCAGTAGTTCTATCTGTTGTAGGGTTTTTAGTTGTTCTATCTGTTGTACAGTTTTCAGTTGTTTTGTCTGTTGTACAGTTTTTAGTTGTCCTTTCTGTTGTACAGTTTCCGGTAGTGTTTCTTTGTGTTGTGAATATCAAGTTGTTTTATCTGCTATTGAGTTTTCAGTTGTTCTGTTTGTTGGAGAGTTTTCAGCTGTTCCATCTGCTAAAGAGTTTTCAGTTGTTCTATTTGTTGGAGAATTTTCAGCTGTCCTATTTGTTGTAGTTTACAGTTGTTCTACCTGTATTGAAGAGTTTTCAATTTTTTATCTGTAGGATAGTTTTCATTTATTATCTGTTGTACAGATTTCAGCTGTTCTATTTGCTGTAGTTTATAGATGTTCCGTCTCTTATAGAGTTTTCAGTTCTTCTTTCTGTTATAGAGTTTTCAATTGTTCCATCAGTTGTCAAGTTTTAAGTTTGGTCTATCTATTGTTGAGATTTCAGCTGTTCTATTTGCTGTAGTTTTTAGATGTTCTATGTGATGTACAGTTTACAGTTGTTCTATTTGTTGGAGAGATTTCAATTGATTTATTTGTTGTAAATTTTTCAATTGTTCTATCAGAGGAAGAGTTTTTAGTTGGTCTATTTGTTATAGAATTTTTAGTTGTTCTATTTGTTGGAGAGTTTTCAGTTGTTCTATCTGTTGGAGTTTTTTAAGTAGCTCTTTCTGAGATAGAGTTTTCATCATTTCTATAGGAGGAGGAGTTTTCAGTTGTTCTATTTGTTAAATTACACAGTTTTCAATCTGTTGTAGAATTTTCAGTTTTTCTATCTTTCAGTTGTTCTATTTGTTGTAGAGTTTTTGTAGAATTTTCAATTTGCTCTATATTTTTGTAATTTTTCTTTCAGTTGAAATATCTAGATTTGTGATTTCATTTGTTCTAAGTGTTTGTAGTTTTAAGCAATGAGAGTGCAAATGATGTGGCACATTTCATGAGAGAAGTGCTTCCCTGCTGCAAGTAAAATCCTATGTCACATGCTTTCTTATCCATTAAAGCTTACAAAATCTTCATTCCTTTCATACATTAATCTTTGATTTGAGCATTCCATCTTTAATAGGTGAATCATTTGAAGTTATTGTACCAAGGCGGTTGTTTTTCATTTTTTTTTTTTAAATCTGTTGAATATTTTTTGCCTGATATTTCCATATAATTTGTGCATTCTGGTGAAACAATCTATTTTTGGTTACCTAAGAAAATTATGCAGTAAGGGAGATAATCTAATTACAATTTTCTTGTCTTTTCAACATTTATATAAAATAAAGAGATGTGGAATGATTGCTAGTGAGACAACTATCCACCACAGAACAAATAATGTAGATATAAGCAACTATAGGTCACCAAACTGCTTTCAAAAATGAGCAAAGACCATATCACATAGCAATCTATGCTGATTTTCTCTCAAAAGAAACTGCATCCTTAAGCACTTTAACATTACAGAAAAGGTTTTTATCCAAATAAATTTTGAATCTTTCTTTTTGTCTTTATCTAAGATTATCTTCCTGCTTTTTTCAACAGTTCTTACTTGACGAGCCAAAAAAGGAATATGATTTTTTCTGTATTGTATAATACTAATGCAAAACTTTTTGAAGATGACATGTGCTAAAGTGGCTGAGGAAATGAAAAAAAAAATCATTTGCTAATTTTAATTTCTGTCAGAACTATTCTTAGCACTGCTGCAAATAGTCCTGTGCTTCAAATCCTTCATAACATCAGACTTAATAACTTCAGAATTAAAGAAATAATACAAATACAGATATGTGTGCATCTTTGTTCTTCCCATAAACTGCAGAATAGAAAAAGCAAAAGTATGTATAACTTGTTTGTCTACACTTATAAATCGACTAATTTTTTTTTTACTGGTTTTCTTGTATACATTACAGTTGAAACATGCCAACCGCCACTTAACGTTACATTTTATTTATTTTTTTATTCATAACCATATGGAATGATTTTTTATAATATGCATATTTAATCTTAAATCATTGCTTATTTTCCCACAACAAATCAACGAAATGTTCAATAAATCAAGGTTTTAAAATTCATAGATAAAGTGAAACTTATCTAAAACAACTTTAACAAAAAATCTTCAAAATCTTATTTCATAACATTTGTGTAAAAGCATTAACCAACAAACACCTGATTAATCCATTTAGAATTAGTCCTTAATAATTTCTGTTTTGATAGAATGATGAATTATCGTATCTCTCTACATCTATATCATTCTGTTTAGGGCTATTCCATTAAAATGTATGTGGGAGGGTAGGAAGGGAATTTAATTATTGAAAGTCGGTCATGGGTCTTTTTTCAGTATGCTTCTATTACCATTATGCAAAATTATCTTAAAAATGGTTCTTGGTTGTAGGGATATTTTGAAAGTCCCTTCCTACCGTCCCACATACATTATAAGGGAATAGCCCTTAGCAATTCAGAAAATCCATAATTGCGGCTTTTGTGAGATTGTAAAACATTTTCAAAATGTTTTCATCTGAAAATATTTAGTAAGATACAACTTTATCAAGACAATCTTAAAATTTTTTTTAAATCAAGATAAAACACCAAAAATCAATAAAATCAAAAAATTATCAGTACCGGGTATTTGATATATATAAAAAAAATCCTGAACACAACATGCACCTCTTTAATTTGTTTTTTTACACTCTAGTCAAAAAGGCTTATACTGTGACTCCCTGCTGATCTCTTATGACATATATTTGCAGAGAACCTTTAAAAGATACATTTCATTTGGAACCCTACAAAACAATTTGTATCTGTACTGAATATTTCAACTAAAGTGGTACCAATTATTAGTATAAAAGTATCACAAAAACTATCATTCAAGTTAATAAGGCTCCGTGTATGTTCTTTTACTGCTACATTATCATTACATTTGGTTAATTTCACAAAGACAAATGTCATCTTCACACAAACAAGTTATAACTGTTTACTATTGACTGTGACACAATAATCGAGAATCTCACAGCACTAAACATAATGAAGACATTTGGATGAGTGAAATATTTTCTAAATACAGTGAAAATAAATGGCACACAAACAAAAAGTACCGGTTGAGGTATCAATGGACACAATCAGGTAGATGTATCAATGGACACAATCAGGTAGACGTGTCAATGGACACAATCAGGTAGATGTATCAATGGACACAATCAGGTAGATGTATCAATGGACACAATCAGGTAGACGTATCAATGGACACAATCAGGTAGATGTATCAATGGACACGATCAGGTAGATGTATCAATGGACACGATCAGGCAGATGTATCAATAGACAGGATCAGGCAGATGTATCAATGGACACGATCAGATAGATGTATCAATGGACACAATCAGGTAGATGTATCAATGGACACAATCAGGTAGATGTATCAATGGACACAATCAGGTAGACGTATCAATGGACACAATCAGGTAGATGTATCAATGGACACAATCAGGTAGACGTATCAATGGACACAATCAGGTAGATGTATCAATGGACAAAATCAGTAGACAAATCAATTTATAAACTTCTATGAATGGGAGATAAGGAAATACAAATGTTGTTATCAATGCTGATTATCAAAACTATTGATGGGAAAAAAACCTAACTTTAATAACAATGAAGAAAATATCTACAAAGTATTTTGTCATTTTTAAAATATTTTTGCATGCATGGTAATATAACTATTTACAAAAGAAACAAAATCAATATATACAACCCTATCTTTAACTGTATATAAAAATATCACAATATATGATACATTGACCATATGCAAAAACTACACTACCTGAATATCTTTCTGACATGTTTGTGCCCTTTTTTTTTCATTTCTAAATTTGTTTGAAGCAGCTAGCGAATTCTAATCCATAACCTCTTTGATAAAAACACTTCAATTTTAAAATGCACATTATTCTAAATTAAGCAGCATTGTAAAGTAGTTCAAGTTACATTATTCCTTTTGGTCTTGTGAATTAAAACTGGCTTTGAACTTCTTGTTGTTATACAACTATACAAAATTATAGCTACAGTGATATTATAAGTTTTGCCTTGGGGTGTACTAGGGTTACTTCAGGGTGTTAAAATACCCATATCTGCAGATATGAATGCAGATTACAAATTTATCCCCGGTCTTAAATGAATCGGGAAATTCAGGCACAAAGTGTAACGTGAAAGCAATGTTTTTTTTATTATTTAAAAAAGTTTAGTTGAAATTTGAAGATTTTTTTTACAGGGTGTACCAAAGGTAGTCAAATATAAGACGTTTTAATCCAGAGACAGAGAACTAGAATAAATCAAATTTGGTGCTCAATGTCGAGAGCACTATATCACAGACTGTGACGTCAAATTCGGTCATTTGCATTACTAGGTCAGTAGTCCTGTTCACTGTCTACATGGTAGCCACTAAAATGAATGTTAATGATCAGAATAATAGGATAAAATCGATACTGGATTGCATATTTAATTACAGACATCATGAATTATCTATAGAATTCAATTTTTCTATGGGAACAACCACCGAACTAGGAAAAAGGGTTTGTAATTCCCCAGAGTAATACCTTTTTCAAAATCTCCATGGGGGATTTTTTAAAGCACAAGAGGACCAAATGCTCCTCTTATATTGTCATGTTTTAAATCTACATCTTTATTGTTTGAATGAGTATGTATGTGCTTAAATACCCTTTATCTCATCTAAATGTCTATTTTGAGGTGTTCAGTTTATATAATAAAGTTTTCAAAGTCAGGTCAACGCCTCTCTTGGGGGATATCCCCCCATAAATTAGTATATTTGGCAGGTCTGGTAATGGGTAGCAACACCCATTTATATGCCATTGGTAAGCAACACCTCAGCTATGGGTTTTTAAACAACATGTCATTAGCCAATCGCAATTCGAGAATTATACTAAGCTGGGGATAATACATCCATGGCCCCTTCAGACTTCAGTATTAATGTGCCATCTGTCATTTTACAGAATAATAAAAAAAAAAAAGTATTAAAATGTCTTCTATCATCACCCTGATATAATCCCCGATATTTTTTTTTTTATCTATTCAAGGGGCCTAACCTCTGTAAAAATTGATTAACATCATTGTATTTTTTTAATTCCATTCAATTAAAACTTAATCAAATATTATGCAAAGACATCAAAATGGCACTCACAGGATCATTTTCCAAATTGTCCATGATATTAAAGAGGAAATTCATAAACAGAACTTGTCTTTAATATCACTTATACTATCCTTTAGCAGAATCTTGTGGTTAAATTTGATCTAGATCTAAATAGGAAATTCACAAGCTTTTACAAACCCATGCATTTTACCTATTTTTTAGGTTAGTGAGCTGTTTAATTCATGTAAAAATTCATAAAGACGACTGATAATTAGTCTTACTCCAGTTTTTTTCACTTAGGAGAGACTCCCCAATGCTAACAAATGCACAGACAATTGTGTGACATTGCTCATTTCCATCCCCCAACAATGCTGGAAATAAGAGGCAGACATGACATCATGAAAACAAAAGAGAAAATAACGGCAAAATGTATATCCTGTTTTATCTTGAAAATTATCAAATGCAAAACAGTACATATAACCACACCTACACCAACATTTTGTTTTAATCTATATATATAAAGAAGAAGTAGGTTTAAAACAGTAAAAATAGCAACCCAACAATTTAAGCAAATATCTCATCATAAAGCCTTCAAAAATGGACACCCCCTCCCCAATCATATAACAAGTTCCATATTACTTAAAAGTCTAAACAGATTGTACATAATTGAAACAGAGACATGGATTTGACAAAATCACCCTGTTTATTATGATATTTATCCACTGGAGATGGTTAAATTCTCAACTTTAAAATGTGAGGTTCAACAATTAAAATTAATAATTATTCTGTTAAAATAAAGAAAAAGTGTCCTTTTTTAGGGTCCCAAACCAGGGTAAGTTTTACCTTATTCATTACTCTTTATCTTTACCATGTTTTTTATTTGAACCTTTAACTAATGCCTCACATAAAACACTTAAAAGTATCCAATTCTATCTTTAAAATGAATCCTAAAACTACAGTACAGGGATGCCTATTGAGAAATAGTGCAGAAAAAGCTTGTATAATAAGTTTAAAAGTCTTATTATCACTAACAACAGTAGATTTTTGATTATAATGACCCTGATACCATATCCTAACTACTGACTAGGTAGGTTTATGATTGAATAATCACAGTCAAATAGTTCTCTTCTCCACTTGCATAAAAATTGCAAAGGATCTACAACTGAAATTTAAGTTCTTAAATTGAGTTTCCTTCTCAAACTGCTACTATTATTGTAACTGATACCTTCAGTACCGGTAAATGAATATTTTGGCTGACGTTAATGCTTTGATGGTTAAATAGCTATAAATATATACCTATTGTTCAAATCAAATAAAAAGAATTGTTCTACTCTCTCTGTGTAGCACAAACTTAACTATTGTTCTGGCTAAGAGTTTTGTGTTTTTTATATCTTAAAAATGTGATTTAATCATATAACAGGAACTATTCTATTTTTGTATATCAATATTATCATTAACTATTCAAAACTTATCACAAAATAAATAACAAATAACAATTAGCCTTTTTCATTTCATTCTGAAGATTGTTTCAATGTTTCTTCATTATTCCCTGAATTCTTCAGTGTTTTCTCTTGTTTTTCCTTTTCCTTTTCAACCTTTTCTTTCTGTTTTTCTTCTTCTTCAATCTGCATTTCCTTCTTGCAGAGATCAATTAATTCTGAGACTTGAGAAGATTCCAATTTCACATTTTCTTGACCCAGCAATTTAATAACCTATAATTATAAATTTAACATGTAGCTTAACACAACCTCCACATAATAGAATCTGCAAGTAAACTACAGAATGTTTTTCAACAATAGTTGAAGCTGACACTTGTTAGCAATGGAAGACAACATCAAAGAGGGTCGTAATGGTGGTACCTTCATGATGAATAACGGTAAAAATTCTTGCCAAATGATGTTAACAATTATTTTTGGTGCATGACGATAAAATGTACACTTTCTTTTAGACGATAAAAAAATCAACAGATTGTGAAGAATCACGTTAAATTTTTCCAAAAAAAATGGTAACGATAATTATTTGAGACCTCTGACAAATCATAATAAGGATATTTTGACGAACCACGGTAAGGTAGCCAAAAATGACCATTTGAGGCCTGACAGTAAAGGGCATTCCTACCCTCATCAAACTCTGCCTATTTTTTTTACCTTTGCATTATTTTAAATGTATAAATGGCTGTAGAATCATTACAATTTTCAATGGAGGTCTAAGAACAAACAAAATATTCTATGCATAACTTCACATGTAAGCCAAGCATACTGTAGAATCTTAATAACATATGATTTGTGGTTTCTAAGAATGGCTGCAGACAAGATCAAGCCCTGCGGTCAGATAAATTTCAAGTTCAGACTTGAAAATCAACCAATCAAAATGCGGGATTCAGTGTTTCCAGCACAAATTTTATACTCCAAGTTGTGAGTAAAGTTTCCTTTATCAAAAGGCCTGGTGAGTCTTAGAATATGACAAAAGAATAAAACAATAAGTCACCGAAATTCAATTGGGTGACTTCATTAGACAGGTTGGGTACAACCTGCCAAATGGGGAACTATTCCCCAAATGAGTAACAATCCTTTATTTGAGTAATCATTTGATAGTGCAAGAAACAAAATTTTCCTAACTGTGTCTTTTTATTGTACCCAACCTGTTAGATATTAGAAGTCAATGTCAATATTTATGAAAACATTTTGAATCATTTGTAGTTATCTGAGGCCCTATGTGCTAATTAACATGAGTGTTGCTGCCCATATGTTTTTTTTTTTAATACTTCTTTATGACACATGATAAAATATTCGTTTTGTGGATGTCTGATCTTGTGGTTTTGCCAAAGTTTGCTTATATACAATCGAAAATTTGTACTTCGTCCAACATTTCTATTCCTGGTTCACCTATATCCATGAAAATTGGTATCCCACAAATAGTAACGAATCCATAGTATATCAATTAAGTCAAAGCCTGAATAACAATAGTTAAAACAAACAGTTTACCGAAAGCGTAACATATCCACTGCATGAATATATAATGTATATTTACAACTGAAAATTACCCAGTCTCTTTTGTACAGTAACATTTTTGAAGATTGGCAAAAACTGAGAGCCTAAGAATGAGTTATGAAACAATCACAGACATAAAACAACATGATCCTGTTGTGTTCTTCCCTTATTGACTCCAATGGTTCTGACTGTCTGTATTGTGTGTACCTGTCTCGCTGAAGAATGAATTTCACATAAAAAAATATTTACCTTAAGAACATGACTAGCATCAATTATACCATCTTTGTCTTCATCTAAAACTGTTACAATTTTCTGAAGTCTGACTTCATCTGGAACTTTTTGTAATCTCCTTAATGCCAACACCATATCATTGATACTAATAACTAAGCCCCTGAAACAAATTGAATATTTAAGTATATGCCTTTTATGGCAATGTCAAATTACCCGGTTCTGATATACTCAATTTAAAAAAAAGAAGTTCAATGCCCCAGTCTGCAGCCTTATGTGTTAATTACGAGCTGTAATTCAACCACAAGTTGGTCAACTAGAAGGAACTCTAACTCAATCTGCAAGTCATCATTATATGTACCAAATCAGCTTCAGCAGATCGCAGGGATTACAAAAAAGTCTGGACAATTATTATTTTCATAGATATTTAAAGGTTGTAATTCTGTCAAAAGTAGGTCAACCAGAACAAAAGGCAAACTCAATCTGTTAGTCATCATTCTATACTTAAGTATCAAATCAAGATTGCTTTTTCAAAGAATAAAGTTCCATAACTCCTCAATGTCATATTAGAAATTTATAAAAAAAACTAAAGGGAGGTTATTTAAATAAGTCACCAAAGTTTCATGAAAACCGCTCAAAGCATTTTTGAGTTATTGTCCGAAAACTGGAAAATCCTCCTATTATAATGAATAAAACCCCATAACTCGGAAACGTAAAATCTAAAATTTATAAAAATCGAAAGGGAGCTCACATCAATAGATATAAACAATTCACCAAAGTTTCATGCAAATTGGTTAAAGCGTTTTTGAGTTACTGTCCGACATGTTGACGACAGACAACGGTATACCATAATACGTCCCATAAACGGGCGTATAAAAACACAGACAAGTAGAAATTTACATGAGCATAGTCACCATATCTTTCTACTTGCTAAAGTTGCATAAATAAATTTCCATTAAAATTGTGCTTACATGGCTGATTGACAGCCACACAGCAAATTTTTTGTCACTTCTATTCTATGGCATGGGACAAAAAAAGCTAAATATTAGGTAAATATAAATCATTTAAATGGTTAATTACATAATAACAATCAAACAATCAATCATTGCTTCAAAAATGGTCTGATAATTAATAGCATAAGTCAATTTTATGTGAAAACAGTTTTCATCACATAAAAACAAATTGTAAACAGGTTTAGAGTACATACATTTTGTGTGAACACTGACTAAAAGACTTTAATTTCATTTGACCTCAACAAACAACAGCAATAAGTACTTTCTTTCCAAATTATAAATATAAAAATATCTCTTACTTCTTCTCTGAAATTTTCTGCATCACTTCATCTCTGGTTTCGATATCATCAATATCTGCATAGATAAGATTTTTTTCCTTCAAATCGATCTCCTCATTTATCCTTAGTCTTTTCTTGTGAAGCTCATCAAGCTTTACATCCAGTTGAGTGACCAGTTTGTCTACTTTTTTACCTAACCTCTTAGCAGACTTGGATTCTTTGATGTCTTCCTCATCTCCACCAGAAGCTAATATAACTGACTTAAGGTCTTCTAGATCCTACAAAGGTACATAATGAAATTACAATAACATATGATGTAACCACATACTGTGAATGAATTAAAATTCATTGGTACCAATTTGCATGGTTTGAGGAAAAAATGTAATTTTCATGGAAACTTCATTCTGTGGCTTTAACAAATTCAGTGTGCACAAGCCTTTAATAAATTTGTTTCTTGTTAAACATTTTAATTCCAAAGATTTAGCCAAACCCTGAAATCCATAAACACAAGTAAGCCACAAATAATACTGAATCTATAGTATATAACATATTGTAAACTAAGCCATTTAACCATTATGGAACATGTGATATCACTTCTGGTTTTGGTTGGAAATTCTAGACTAAGGATTATTGTCCTATGCCTATTGTTAAGGAATTATTATTAATTAACTGGAGTATATTTGACTTGATACGAGTAAAACTGCCAAATCAATAATTTCATCCAATAATGTCAATACGGGAATCTACAAGGCCAATACGAATTTTTCCATATTGGCCCAAGCCCAATATTAGCACATTCGAGAAGCTCTAGACTAATCATTGAACTTCCAGATAACTCAAGAGCTCATATACGGAGAAATCACCATGTCCAATACTGATGACGTTGCCCTGTCGATATAAATCAAGAGTTAATATTGCTTTTCGGACAGGGCCATACAGAAAAAAGCCGGTTTCAATTTTCTTACGCCTTTGGACGTATGCATAAAATACATTTGTATCATATTTTTTAACTTAATATCATAAAAAAGTTCAAATGATGTTCAGTGTTTTGTAACATCTTGAAACGGAAATATTTTCCAGTCTTTTCGAGTACGACTTTCGATTATTATCACTGTTTCATTTCTGTTGATCAATCATCAGAACGCAGACGATTCAAGAGTAAGAATAGTTAAACTGTCTGATTTATTCTTCCCAGTTACTTTATATTTGCTAGATTAAATGAATTGTACTAGCATAAGATTAAGTACTTGGATGAGAAATTAGAAATTACATCTGACAATGTTGACAAATGTGAAAAGACAAGTTAGATATTAATTTCTGTATCTTCCTCACGGTAAGTTTCTTAGTTTAATCGAAGAATTAAAATCATTTAATAAAAGTGTTATGAACTGTATGTTTCTGTATTGGCCCTGTTATAGATTCTCGATCAGCTGTATTGGCCCTCGACTCTTCGAGTCTAGGGTCCAATACAGCTAACCTCGAATCTATAACAGGGCCAATACAGAAACAGCCTGTTTATAACACTATATTAATGTAAAGAGTGTGTTTTTTCATGTTTGCATAGTATATATAACTTCCTTGGTTGTGAATTGTCCTCTTGATTGTTATTTCTAATTTTACATTTAACACAATTTGTTTACTTATCTTCTTCAGCCCTGATCACCTTCAGTAGCAAAATATGTATTCATCAGAGCGTTGTAAACATGATGGCAATAAAACTATGTAAATTTTCAATGGCAACTTGGTTAATGATTTAAGATTTCATGTAACACCGCTCAGACTTTAGGCAATAGACTTTTCACCACTAGTTGTTTTTATCCCTGTATTATGATTATTTATAAAGAAATGTACTATTATAAATATAAAGGAGTTGGTTCACAAACCCATAATTTTGGCCCTAAATAAACTGAAAATATGATAAAACTAGATGTGTCGGAACGACACGAATGGCCACGCTCACAAAAAAATCTTGAAGCCATTTTAAGGAGTGGAAATTTTCAAAGTCCAAAGCCCGTTATTTCTGCAAAAATCAGTGCAGCGGAACCAAAAGTAAACTTGATCTGTAACTAATCATAGTGGACTCATTTACTAAAAATCAGCTCAATAAGTGTAGGCATTTGGAAAAAAGTCTGTATAACTGCTATTTTCACAAAATTTTCAAAGTCCATAGGCTGTAATTTCAGCAAAAGTCAGCGGTGTGGAACCAAACATGAACTCCATCTGTAACTCATCAAAGTAGACTCACATAACTAAAAATCAGCTCAATATGTGAAGGCGTTTAGAAAAAAAAGTCTGTATAACTGTTTGTTGCGGAATGACAGAATGATGGATAAGGGTAACACTATATGGCACCGACCTAAGTTGATCGACCATAAAAACATAATATAATGTTGAAATGTCCAATCGTTTTAGAGAAGATTTTAACATTGCATCATTAGTGATGTATTTATGACATCGTAAATCTGCGTAAATAATACATTTAGCAAAACATACACATTAGATTTTCTCAAACATTTGAAGTTTACAAAATACCAAGGTAGGTTATTGGTGTTTTTGGCTTTACTCCTTTCCAAACAGAGGAAAAAAAATTTAAATGAACTTCTCAAAGTATACCGAAGTCATAGCATAGTATTTTTCATAAAGTCTGTGAATTTCTAAAGACAGACAAAGAGGACTTAGGACAGCATTATTGCTGTAGGGGTCATCATCACTGATGTATTGACAAAATATGCAATTTATTGGTCAGACATGTTTGATCTCTCCCCAACACATCAAACAAAGTTTCTATTTTAAGTTTAAAAATGAGATATTCGACAATCACGGTGTCCTAGCATAAACCTTAGGTTTTGAGGAAACAAAAATTACATATTTATCTCATAGTAAATAGAAATGAAAACCACAAACAAATTTCTAAAGATAAAAACGAAAGTTGATCATCATAACTCAAGTACGAAATATTGGTAAAACAGACAAAAAATGTAACCTTACTATTTTGAAAATATCAGAAGACTGTCAAGTCTTGTTATATTTGACCTTATCCTTTGACCTCTTCGTTGTCAGGAAGAATCTGATTTTCACTTACTTCTTTATATTCATCTACATCCTCTTTAAGGTCCTGTAATATTTCTTCATCAATGTTAAACTTCTTTTCCATAGCGATGTTTTCTATGGCTGACTCAATCTCCTTAAGATCTTCAGATGATAACTCTTCATCTGTATTAAGTACTTTGATTTCTGTGAAGACAAATAGTTACTGATCAGATCAGAAAAAGGATATACATGCACATGAAGTAAACCTTCTACCATGAAAAATGCATCCTATAATATGCATGCACTTTATTGTTTTAAGCTTTTCTGGTTTGGAACTCTTTTTTTTGTCCTGATCTATTTAGGCCTCTATGAATCTATTCTTTTAAGACCCTTTTTGTTGTTGTTTAATGAAAAGTCCAAGACAGCAAAATGATCTCAATCAGATCATAACAGATTGAGCAACAAGAAGCCAACTGAAAAATTGGGTGAATTGCTACAGAGGGAGAAGCAATTTCAGCCTTTTCAAACATGTAGAAACAAATTTAATGTTTATTGTTGAAATGCTCATTATTTGCAGCAAAATATGAGAATGTTATTTTCTCACTTTCCCAGCTCCATATCAACATGTCAAATAAAACCATATGATGTTCTATGCTACAAGGGAGGTAATTCACCATGTATAATTTTACCAAATACCCTTATATTTCCTGCATGATTTTAACAAACACTCATATTTCCTGCATGAACTACACAAACAACAGAACAGTTTGCTTTTCAAATATATGCTCATTACACAAGTTATTGTATTTTTATTAATATTTTTACCGCTGTATTGTCTTTTGGTATTCTGAATACAAATAATACAATTCATGGTCTGCCTAAATAATATAACATTCAATAAATTTCATGTTGGAAAAAACATGTTTTTTAATAATAGATTTTTTAAAATATAAAATAGATTAAAATAAACCTTGTGAACAACAAAGAGTGCAATAATCATCTAAAATTAATTTTGGTACAAAGAGTTTTCAGTTAGATCCTGAGCAGTTTTGCCCCTCTCAGATTTTCCATTTTATAATATCTAATCTAGAACCATTTAATTTTTCTAAAAGTATCATATAAAAGATTAAAAAAGTGCTATCAGCAACAACACTGTAAATTCATGTTACAAAGCAGTTCTTACTACTTATATAATGCAAACTTGACAATCACACATTGAGAATAAGCCAATTTTCTTGCAAGGGGTCAATTCTATTTAAATTTTATAGTTTATCTTTAAAAAAACATTTGCTGCAACCAAATTTATGAGTTGGTACCCAGGTAAATCTATTTAGGTAAAGTCACAAGAGCAAACATTTTCTCCTGAATAATATTGATTTGATTTCTAGTAATTGCTCAAATAGCTTTTATTGAATAAGATTGGAATTGAATAGAACAGTTGCAAAACAAATTGGTTAACATATGTCATCATACATGTCCAAGTTAACGATGAATTGAGGAAAAGGCTACCATTACCACCTACCTGAAATGAATTGCACATCTTGACCCAATTAATGGACCTTCTTTTAGATGTTGTCAGACTTAACTTATGGATGATTGCATCTTGTACACCAGGGCAAATTATGAAAATGAAGGTTAGTTGTCTTTTATAAATAACCTAGTTATAACAGTTGGTTCTAAATTAACATTATTTATAAAGGTAAGCAGCATTTTTTGCTTTTGAAATGTATAACTGGCATGGGATTGCAGCACTTCTTTGAGGCTCAATCAAAATCTTTGATTACATGAGATGCTGAAAAGGCACATGGCATTGACTTAAGTAAGGGACTAATTAGCCTTATTTCTTATGGAAACATTTAATATTGTTAAATCACAGCAATAGACTTTTTGTGCTGAGGGGGGGTAAAGCAACCACCAATCAATCAATCAATATTGTTAAACTGTAAGCCAACAAGACATATAAAAGACATATTCATGCCATCATCTTTCAAATCTACAGGAATAGATGATAATGCAAGGGAAATAACACACTTCATACGAAAGTATTTGATTTGTGTTGTACATCAATAATTTGACCATTAATTAGCAACTGGTCACGACAACAATCAAATAAACAGACAAACATATTTAAGAAATGCATGAATAGCTGTATTTCAATTCACAGCAACAAATCACAGGATAGTGTCTTTCCCAATGAAAAAGGGGGCAGGTCCAACACAGTGCTTCAACTATTCAGCTTTGAAGCTACTACTGATTGCTCCTCATGAAAAAGGTTCACATGCATGTTGTGAAGCCAAAAGGGGGAAGCATCTCTCTTTTTTGTGATAAAACTTTCAAGAATTTGATTTTTTCTCTCTCAATTAAACAGTTCGTATTTGAATGAAATGATAACACAACCTGAATCAATTTTCGTCTTATTTCAGTTTCAGACATATCATTCCAGTTTAAGATGAGACGGTAAATTAGAGATTTAAAAAAGTTCTGAATTACTGGTAAGCATTTTATTTTATCAAACCAGCTCTTAATTGTATATTTATGGTATTTATGCAATTGACATTAGTCATGATATTGAAAATATGCCGATATGAAAACTGTTGCTATGGTCTTGATATTATTTAAAATTGCTTAGTTCCTGATCTTTTCTACTCGACATTTTGAGTTAAACCCTTAGTCAACTGTTGGTTATGTAACACTGCAACTGTGCTAAAAACAATTTAAAAAAACAGTTGATATTTAATTACATCATAATCATACCTGTCAACCTCTGAAAATGAAAATCCAGGTCACGACCTGCATTGAGGAAGAAAAGTCAGGTCATAATGCATACAAACTTTTTTCAGTTCAATTTTAGTATCTAGAGGATTTTTTTTATTCTATAACATATACTATTCCAGCTGAAAATTATTTAGAAATTCAATTTATGTTTTCATTTTAACTACATTGTATTTGTTAAAAATTCATTATAAATCAAATATAAACCAATGCACTCTAATTGTTTCATTCACACTATTTTTATAAATGAATTTAAAACCCCAACTATAATTAGACATCAGCTATAGCTTATGTGCTCCTATACGTTGGCAGAAAATAAAGATAAAGAAGAATTTACTGTTGTTTACATTTGGTGCAAGTGTAGAGCTCATGGATTTTAAGGTTCATGTGGACCCTTCGTCTAAAATGGCTGCATTTTCGCCTAAAAATTTACTCTGAGTGCAGACAAACCGATGCATCTGAAAAAGTTTTAAGGCATAGCATGCCCTAGATAAATAAAATTCAAATATATTTTATGTTTTAGAAAATTAAAAATATAACCGTATTTTGCAGTGCACTTTTTTCATTCCTCCAGAAGGTGGCAAAATAAACTAAGTTGGGAAAGAGGTTTGAGACCTTCCCCACAGGTAATAATTGAAGTGAACTGTATTGATTGCATTGACAATAGATACCTGACAATAACTGGTGATTAAACTGTGTACCTGAGTGGACCATATCAAGTGAAACTCAGCTGTTTGTTAATTTTATCATCTTCTGCAGGGACGAAAAAAATTGCACTGCAAAATCCAGTTAAGTTTTAAATTTTCTAAAACATACAATGCATTAGAAGTTTATTTATCTAGGGCATACTATGCCTTAAAACTTTTCCAGATGCGCAAGTTTGTCTGTACTCATAGTAAATTTTGAGGTGAAAATGCAGCCATTATAGACGAAGGGTCCACATGAACCTTAAGTGACGACAAAATAATTGGTAAAAAATAGTTTAGGGCCTTGTATCTTTCCAACAGATATGTTTAAAGAGATTTAAATTAGAAGAAATGATATTTGCAAATGGCAAATTCTATAAATCAGGACATAAAATTGTATGTCAAGCTTGACTGGCTTCAACCTTTCTGGGGTACAATTAAAGAGATAATCAGCGAATTGTTATTACTTTCAATCAAAAGAGTGTCAAAATTAGTTTTGATAGCTGTAAATCATTCAATTGAGAGCAATTTATCAAACTTCCTGTCCAGGAATAATTTTGAATTTGCCTTTTTTCATAGGAAAATCTAGCATTTTAGACATTGGAAGTCTCATGGGACCAGAATACGGGTCATTTGACGAAATCCTGGGTTATTTGATGACCCAGGAAAGTATTGAAAAATCTTGGGTCAGCTCTTATATTCCTGTGTTTCACCTGCAAAAATTGGGGTCAATTGCCTGGTATGCATAATTAATATGTGTAATGTCATGTTTATTTAAAAACTAAATGTGCATTTATCACTGACAAAAGATTTTCACTGAAATACATTAAAAAACTAAGTTACGAGAACGGAAACGAAAATTCAGCAATTTTTATGTTTATAAAGGGACATAACTCAAGAATGGTAAAAGTGTTCTCACCAAATTTCGTACTTAATCTGTATTATGTAGTAATAAGCATTGTGTATAAGTTTCATAACATTTGGTTGAGGCAAACTAAAGTTAGAAAACGGAAACAAAAAATTTGTACTTGATCTTAGTTTTGTGGTAATGAATATTGTGTATAGGTTTCATAATGTTTGGTTGGGGCAAACTTAAGTTAAAGAATGGAAACTAAAAATTTTGCAATCTTTTGATTTATAAAGGGGCATAACTCAATAATGGTTAAAGTGACACTACCCAAATTCAACTTGATCTGTGTTTGATCAGTGGAATTCAAAATTAAACATTGCATTGTATAAAGCATTGATTGTAGTTGATTCAACTATAATCATGGACAAAGGAAGATAACTCCAACTTTAAAAATTACTTGATATTTAGAAGAAAATAAAAATTTGGCAATTTTTCCATTTATAAAGTGGCATAACTCTAGAACGGTTAAAGTGATGCCACCAAAATTCAAACTTGATCTGTGTTTTGTGGTAATAAGCATTGTGTATAAGTTTCATAATAATTGGTTGCGGCAAACTTAAGTTAGAGAACGGAAACTAAAAATTTTGCAATTTTTCCATTTATAAAGGGGCATAACTCTAGAACGGTTAAAGTGACGCCACCAAAATTCAAACTTGATCTGTGTTTTGTGGTAATAAGCATTGTGTATAAGTTTCATAACATTTGGTTGCGGCAAACTTAAGTTAGAGTACGGAAACTAAGAATTTTGCAATTTTTCCATTTATAAAGGGGCATAACTCTAGAACGGTTACAGTGACGCCACCAAAATTCAAATCTGATCTGTGTTTTGTGGTAATAAGCATTGTGTATAAGTTTCATAACATTTGGTTGCGGCAAACTCAAGTTAGAGAGCGGAAACCAATTTTGGGAAGTACGTACAGACGTACAAGGGTAAAACATAATGCCCCCACCGCTACGGTGGGGCCATAAAAAAAACTTTATTTTTTAAAAATTATGTGAAAGGACAAGTTTTTTAAATTTGCACTTTTAATTTTATGATAACAGACTAAACAGTGAAGTTCACAGCAGTTTAAAGTGGTTTCTAATATTTTTTAGGGTTTTGAAAAATTCTACATTTTTGCATAACTTCTGAGTTAAAATGCACTTTCAGACATCAGAATAATCTCTGTGCAGTGATATTGAAAATTCTTAACAAGTGACTGAGCTTAACCATTTGTGCTGATTTGAAGAGCAGAGGTGTAAAAAATTTATTAAATGTATTGGTATTCAGAGAACTAAATTTTCATAGAGCTTATTGTGGGAAAAAAGGGATTTTTAACTTGAGAAGCTGCATCACAATGGGCTTTTAGGGGTATGCTTAATTATGAAAAAAATAATCTCACTTCGTACCCAGAAAATTTAACCACTTATGTGAAAATGTCTCAGCTTTGAAACGAGCCATCATACATATCCAAGTTTACCATACGAGCAGAGGAATTGGGGAAAAGGCTACCATTACCACCTATCTGAAATGAATTGTGCATTTTGACCCATATGTATTGTTCCAGTTTTAAATCATCTTGGTATATTGTACACATATGAACCAAAAGAAAATGGTATATCAGTGAACACATTTCTTATAGTAATTCCTTTATTCTATGAATACATTGGATTACCTTCTTCTGCACGGGCAGCAATCTCAGGAGCATTGTCCACTAATACTTCTCCTTCCATAGCAACCCTGGCAGCAATAGCCTCTGCCTCCTCTTCCTCTTTCTATGAAATATCAAAACAAACAACTTGGTTTTACTCCATCCATTTTCCTTTGAGGAAATGTTTCAAATTCTTAAAGATCAAAACCTCTATTTTTCCCAAAATATTCACTTGTTTTCACTTTTCATCTGATAGAATTTAAAATAGTGTTAATTTAGAAATTATTACATACATTTATTATTGGGACTGTTGAATAATCGACATGAGTTTAATTAATGTGATTTCAGGAAATGCTGCAAACAAATAATGGGATCAATATTTAAAAAGAAAGTTTTTATTTTTGCGACACCTATCTCGTTCCAATTTTCTCAATGATAAAAACATTCCAAAAATTTCTGAATTTACAGTATAAATCAAACTGCAACAATTTGCATTTAAAACGGCAACAACTCATCCAAAAACTGCCATAATTCTAACTATTTGGTTTTTTATCCTCTGTAAAAAATTCTCTCTGTATTTGTTCACTTCTATATTTTGTGCATTCTCACATTGTTTCAATGTCTTAACTGTTTTTTTATGAAAATGGGTTGCTGTCTCATTGTTGTGTATCCCATATCTTCTATCATTATCATGCATTGTAACATAATCAGTATTACATCATGTCATTGTAACATAAACAGTATTACATCATGTCATCTCAATTTGTCAGTATACAACAGGATAGTTTTCATTATAGCTATTCAGGGGGCATAATTTACAGATAAAAAAATCAAGCAGTTAATCCCAGGTCCTAGAAAAGTAAAAATATGAATAATGTATTCTTCAAACCCATCTTTTTTTATTTAGTGACTAGTGAGGGGAATCAACAAATTTAATTGATAAGGACTTGGTATAAATATGTATCTCTAAAGGGACAAATTAATGTAAGCAATGATTTGATAGATACAAAGAAATGCTTTGGATATTTTGCTGTACTTGTAGAAATCATATACAAACTAGATATGACATTCTAATTTTTACAGCGAGGTTGTCTATAAAGCAATGTGAACTTGTGTCATTTGAATAGACTTATTCGTAAAGGTTTTCAAATTACCATATACAAACCTATTTAACATATGACTTATGTTTTTATTTCTATATTCCATCAGATAATATCTGTATTTATATTCTTGTTTAAATATTTCATAAACATTAACCTGGTTTGTCTTATTATTTGAAATACAACAAGTGAAAATGCAAGCTACTGCTCACTGCTGATACCACCGCCGCAAGTGGATAATTTTAATAGTGTAAAAATATGTAAGTGTTCGGTAAACAGGAAGTTGTTGGGTGATGAATCTGAAAATGCATCACACGGTATAGCTGACTTATATAAACCCTGAAACCAAATTTCAGAAATCCTTGTAATGTAGTTCCTGAGAAAAATGTGACAAAAATTTTCAACTTGGATGTCATGTGTAAAATGATGTAAGTGTTTGGTAAACAGGAAGTTGTTGAGTGATGAATCTGAAAACGCATCAAACGGTATAGCTGACTTATATAAACCCTGAAACCAAATTTCAGAAATCCTTATGATGTAGTTCCTGAGAAAGATGCGACCAAAAATATTCATGGGTCGGACTGACGGATGGAAGGACAGATGGACAGACAGAGGTAAAACAGTATACCCTCAATTTTGTAAAGTGGGGGTATAATAATTACGTTTGTGCAGAGTGAATAAGATAACTGTCAAGAGATAATTTATATCATTCAATGAGTTGTCTTGGGTTTTATATCCTACCACTAACCACCAAATGTTTTAAATTTATAATAAGTTTATCAATATGAAGTTTATTTAAAAGAATACAAATTTTCTTCCAAAAATCTTTAAAATAAGTACATTCTATGAAATTACGTAGATAAGTATCTATCTTTATAGTACATATGTTTACAAGAGCTTTCTTTGATAATGTCATGGGAAATTTTCTAATTGTTGACACACCATATACAAACCTGTATTTGTTTTTGTTTTTTCAATTCATTCTCTTCAGCTTTAAGTTTTGTTTCCTTTGCTATAGCCTCTTGCTCAGACTTCAAAATTTCAATCCTTGTTGCTGGATCAATCCTTTCACCTGATATAGCAGCAACTCTAACTGTGGCCTCAGCAGTCTGCAAATATCAATGGTTTACTAATATACTTTTAATTATTCATGAACCCTTATAAAAGAAATTTAATTCTATTAAAATACAGAAAAATATGTTTCTTTTTCAACATATAGTTAGTGAATAGTGAATGTGAAAAATAAACTAAAACAGAATCCAAATTCATTGTTACTATCAAGTATCTTTTAATTAACACTAAAAAATTCAGAATCAAAAACATAATCTTAACATTTATATAACCCTTTTCATCCACATTTAAAACTTTAAATTACTTATATCAAAATGTACTGACAGCTGTCTTGGGTAGTGACTGTATAGTTTTCTGTAGTTGTTCTACCGGTGACAGGTGCTCAGGTAGATATAGAGCCCTCGACAACAGCAATAACGATGTTGGAACATGTTGATTAAGATGAAGGTCTAGCCATTGTTCTAATTGGAATATCAGTCTCTCTTTATCTACACCTAAGGCCCTCATTCCTCTTGCCCTGTTGGCCTGCTGTAATTCCTGTACTGTCAATGACTCAATGCCTTCTTTCTGAATCATCTATAATATAAATATATCATGTATATAAATTTTTAATTACTGCACATATTGAAAAATGTAAGCACCTTAGGCACTACTATCTAAATTAATAATCTTAATGAATAATTCTATTTAAAGGACACATAACACATGACAGAACCTAAGTAAACAAGAGGTATCTCAAGAGCCTGAATGGCTCACCTGTATTTCAGAGGAGAAGATTTTTAAATGTTAGCAAACTTGATGAACAAATTGTGTTAAATTGTCTTTAAAGGGCAATAATTCCTTAAGGGGTCAATTGACAATTATGGTCATTTTAACTTTTTTGTAGATCTTACTTTGCTGAACATTATTGCTGCTTACAGTTTATATATATCTATAATAATATTCAAAATAATAACAAAAAACTGCAAAATTTTGTTTAAACTACCAATTCGGTGGCAACAAACCAACAATGGGTTGTTCGATTCGTCTGAAAATTTCAGAGCTGATAGATCTTGACCAATTGAACAATTTTATCCCATGTCACATTTTCTCTAAAAGATTTAGTTTTTGAGATATAAGCCAAAAACTGCATTTGACCCTTATGTTCTATTTTTAGCCATGGGGGCCATGTTTGTCGATGGATACAAACTTCGGATACAATTTATAAACAAGATACCCTAAGGAACATTTAGTTAAAGTTTGAAGGTAATTGGCCCAGTAGTTTCAGAGGAGAAGATTTTTAAATGTTAGCAAACTTGATGAACAAATTGTGTAAAATTGTCTTTAAAGGGCAATAACTCCTTAAGGGGTCAATTGACAATTATGGTCATATTAACTTTTTTGTAGATCTTACTTTGCTGAAAATTATTGCTCCTTACAGTTTATATATATCTGTAATAATATTCAAAATAATAACAAAAAACTGCAAAATTTTGTTAAAACTACCAATTCGGTGGCAGCAACCCAACAATGGATTGTTCGATTCGTCTGAAAATTTCAGAGCTGATAGATCTTGACCAATTGAACAATTTTACCCCCATGTCACATTTTCTCTAAAAGATTTAGTTTTTGAGATATAAGCCAAAAACTGCATTTGACCCTTATGTTCTATTTTTAGCCATGGCGGCCATGTTTGTCGATGGATACAAACTTCGGATACAATTTATAAACAAGATACCCTAAGGAACATCTAGTTAAAGTTTGAAGGTAATTGGCCCAGTAGTTCCAGAGAAGATTTTTAAATGTTAGCAAACTTGATGAACAAATTGTGTAAAATTGTCTTTAAAGGGCAATAACTCCTTAAGGGGTCAATTGACAATTATGGTCATATTTAACTTTTTTGTAGATCTTACTTTGCTGAACATTATTTAAGGAATGACTGTAATATTTTTTCTGTCTATGAAGAAATAATATCAAAAATGTGGTGCACACTGAATAACCCGCGTAGCGTGTTATTTTAAAGTGTGCACCACATTTTTTATGTTATTTCGAATAGACAGAAAAAATATTACAGTCATTTCTTATAATTTAATTCTAAATTCCATTTGAAACCGGAGTAAACCATGAAAAAACGTTGATGACGTCACGGTCACATGACAAAATTATGTCTATGAGCTGATAAACAAAACAACGCCAGCCAATCAGAAGACGTGTTACATCCAAAATTAAATTATTGCTGCTTACAGTTTATATATATCTGTAATAATATTCAAAATAATAACAAAAAACTGCATAATTTTGTTAAAACTACCAATTCGGTGGCAGCAACCTTAACAATGGGTTGTTCGATTCGTCTGAAAATTTCAGAGCTGATAGATCTTGACCAATTGAACAATTTTACCCCATGTCAGATTTGCTCTAAAAGCTTTAGTTTTTGTGATATAAGCCAAAAACTGCATTTGACCCTAATGTTCTATTTTTAGCCATGGCGGCCATGTTTGTCGATGGATCAAAACTTCGGATACAATTTATAAACTAGATACCCTAAGGAACATTTAGTTAAAGTTTGAAGGTATTTGGCCCAGTAGTTTCAGAGGAGAAGATTTTTTAAATAGTTTACGACGACAGACGACGGACGACGACGGATGCCAAGTGATGGCATTTATAAGCTCACATGGAGCCCTTCGGGCCCCGGTGAGCTAAAAAGAGGCAGAAGATACCAAAGTAACAAATTAATAAAATGCTTCGCTGAGCGCAGCCTGATACGACCGCAGAGGTCGAACCCCGATCAGTTGGGGCAAATTTGGACACAATATTCAAGCTTGATACTGTCTGAATTTGGATTGTGATCAAATTTTTGACATAATATAGGTTCTGACACAAAATAAATGTGGTCAAAGATCTTACAAATCCATTGTGCAATACTGTGCAACTGAAGATTTCTTCTTGAAACTTTTCAAAAATTCGAAATTTTAAAAATAAAAAAAAAAAAATATGAATCCCTTAAAAAAATTGGGAAAAAAATTCCCCCCCCCCCCCCCCAACTTTTTGAAACCCCCCTTCGAGCAATAACCCCAAAACTCAATCCCAGCCTTTACTTTGTAGTATGGAACTTTGTAGTACAATTTCAGAGAGATCCATACTTTTACACACAAGTTATTGTCTGGAAACTAGAAAAATGCTTGTTTTTAGCCCTTTTTTGGCCCCTAATTCCTACATGTTTGGGGCAATTAACCCCAAACTCAATCCCAGCCTTCCCTTTGTTATATGGAACCTTGTGGTACAATGTCAGAGAGATCCATACACTAACACACTAGTTATTGTCTGGAAACTAGAAAAAATGCTTGTTTTTGGCCCCTTTTTGGCCCTTAATTCCTAAACTGTTGTCCCCATAACCCCTAAAATGAATCCCAACCTTCTACTTGTGGTATTAAACATCGTGGTACAATTTCAGAGCAATCGAAATACTTATACACAAGTTATTATCCTGAAACTAGAAAAATGCTTGATTTGGGTCCCCTTTTGGGCCCTTAATTCCTAAACGGTTGGGACCATCATCCCCAAAATCAATCCCAACCTTCCTTTTTGTGGTATTGAACCTTCTTTAAAAATTTCATAGAGATCCATTCACTTAAACTAAAGTTATTGTCCGGAAACCAATGTGTCTTCGGACACAGACGCAGACAAAGACGACATCATACCATTATACGATCCCCAAAATTTTTTTGCGGTTGTATAAAAAAAGTGGCAAAAGAATGTGTCCATAGTACACAGATGACCCACTAGCACTATCATTTTCTATGTTCAGTGGACCGTGAAATTGGGGTCAAATCTCTAATTTGACATTAAAATTAGAAAGATCATATCATAGGGAACATGTGTACTAAGTTTCAAGTTGATTGGACTTCAACTTCCTCAAAAACTACATTGACCAAAAACTTTAACCTGATGCGACCAAAAACTTTAACCTAGGGCTGAACAGATGGACGGACGGACACACAGACCGAAAAACACAATGCCCCTAGGTGGGGCATAAAAACTAAAATCAACAAAAAGACAGTCAACAGTCTACAAACACTACACAGAAAACTAAAGACTAAGAAAACTAAGTAACAAGTGTCAATCCAAGAAAACAATACTAGCCTCAATATTGACATTTGATGAGAGTCAATACAGCATGTGTTATAGATGTTATCATGTACAGGTCACTGTATCATATATTTAAACAAATGTTGACAATAAGTTATAGTAGGTCCTCCATTATTAAAAGTGTTAAACACTAGATCAACAATACAAAAATACGATACAGGCTTTTGGTTTAGGTATTCATAATTGAAATTTTCAGCTTTAACAACTAAATACTGAATTTCTTATTTTACCTTGACCTTCAGAAGTTTTCACATGAATTTATTTATTAAGATTGTGGAATATTGGACAAAATTATGAGATAAATTATTGTGATTTCAGAAAATGGTGCATACAATTAAAGCTATCAAAATTTAAAATAAGAATTCTAATTTTGAGAAATCTATCCATTTGCAGATTTCACAATAACAATAATAATTACGAAAACATCGCAAAAAATAAAGAATTTACATTATAATTAATATCAGGTTGAGTGATTATGTTATGTTTTTTGAACCTTGCATCATTCCAAAGTACGATCATGAAAACTTTCAGCTATATTTGACAGGACTATTAAGAAGCCAAAAGGAAAATGAAGCTGCTTTACTATTTTGGTGTGCATGTTTTTTGTGTTATTCTGTTTAGCTGGTCTTTGAAATTTTGTTTGTGTTTTGTGTTTGTCTTCCAAATTTTCAACAGTATATCTTTTTTTCTTGTGACACAGTGATTTCTGTAGCCTTTTAGTCTCTACTTCTCAGATATCCTGAACACCATAAAACTTACAATATTCTTAATAATATACCGGTACTCACTTTGTCATCTACCAGAAGTCGACGTAACTTTATGTCTAGTTGAAAGCGTAACATTTGATCAGTTCCAATAGGTATGATACTAAGCACTCTACATAAGGCCTGCAGCTGACCTCGAGTCAAAGAATCTATTGTCACTTCATCTTCAAACATGGTAGAGAAATGAAGAATTTCTTCATTTGAAACTGCTATTCCTTCACTTCTAACCTATTAAATAAACAAAAATCAAGTTATTAGCTTACAATAAATGACTTTAAGAGGTTGATATACAATTTATTTACTTGATAATTTGTATTTTGTAAGAGGTTAATATTTATAAATTTATTCTTGGATTCATTAACCTTGCATATAACAAATGACAGTCATTAATTATTTATCATATGTTCTAATTTTTTCTATAGCTAAAAATAAGCCTTCATTACCATATTTCTTTAATGACACTGTAAGCCAGGCATAATTTACAACCTCATGTTCATTGTGTGACATCAAATAGGTCAAGATGATGTTTTTATAATTTTTAGCCAATTTATCCCTTTCCTGACCGGTTGATTAATGTAATTTCAGATATCATGCATTTATTATTGCGACTGATGAAGAATTGTCAAAAATTTGAGTTAAATTATTGCGATTTCGGGAAAATCTGCATACAGATATATGTATCAGATACCAAAATGCGAGTAATTATTGCGATACTCACCCAGTTGCATTATTCACATAAATAAAAACCTCACAATAATTTCTGAATTTACAGTACTTTTTTTTAATCAACATGTGGTTTGTTTGATCTCAGTTCTTCATTGGTTAATATTCAATTATGATGTCAAATTTACTTGTTTTCCTTTGAATTTCCCATTGTGGCGGCACTAAAAAAGGCAACCATGTCTGATGATGTCAGATAGAAAGTACTCATACTTTTGCAAATCATTGAAAAGAGTCGGCATATCATCTAATAAAATGCTTCGCTGAGCGCAGCTGGATACTACTGCAGAGGTCCAACCCTGAACAGCTGGGACGAAAATGGACACAATATTCGCGCTTGATACAGGTCTGAATTTGGATTGTAATTAAATATTTGACACATAATAGGTTTCTGACACCGAATAACTGTAGTCAAAGAACTTAGAATTGGTTATATGATTTGAATTTATATTCAATTTTTTGCTTTTGTGAAATACACTATGCTGTTGCGTATTGACCCCCATCCCCCCCCCCCCCCCCTTTTCTTTGCAAAAAAAAATATTTGAAGAAATTTTCTTTTTAATTTCAGAAATCTGAAATGAAAAAAAAAATGCCCCCCCCCCCAATTTCTTTTTTACCCCCTCCCCCCCCCCCCCCCTATACCAAAAAAAAAATGGTTTCCCTCAAAATATGGTCATAATCTCAATTCAAATTTCCAATGGAGTTTGCAACCATAATTACCAATTTAAATACATCATATAAGTCTTACAACATTGTACAATTTTGTTTTTGGATTACCTCCCTTACACTGCTTTTAAATTGTCCATTAACCAGGAAACCCTTGTTTTTTCCCCTTTTTTGCCCCTAATTCCTAAACAGTTTGAGCCATAACCCCCCAAAGCCAATCCTAACCATCCCTATGTGGTATGGAAACTTGTGGTATAATTTCAGAGAGATCCAAACACTTAAACACAAGTTATTGTCTGGAAGTTACAAAAATGCTTTTTTTTTGGCCCCTAATTCCTTAACTGTTGGTACCATAACCCTCAATATCAATCCCAACCTTCCTTTTGTGGTATTGAACCTTATGGTAAAATTTCAAAGAGATCCATTCACTTAAACTAAAGTTATTGTGCGAAAACTATGTGTCTTCGGACGACGACGACGCCAACGTCATACCAATATACGACTGCAAATATTTTGCGGTAGTATAAAAATCATTAGAGAAATAGATTCCACCACAATATTCAGTGCAATACAATATTTCTCCACTCTAGACAGTTATTTTTAAAATTTAACTGTCTCGAGTGGAGAAATCTTGTATCACACTGGATACAGTGGTAGAATCTATATTTAACATAGAATGCAACCACAGCTCTTCTTTTTTTTTTTATAGCATCCTACTAATAAAAGAAATGTTTTTTTTCAACTTTTAATCATAAGCATAATACAGTCAACCAACTCCGCTTAATATATTTTCATAATTTCTTATTCACAAAACCATTTCCTATTCATCTTATATGAGGCACTCCATGCGAAAAGGTACAAAAAGTGTTAAATCTTGTTAAAATATTTTTGAAAAACAATTTTATCCGCAAAAAATGGTACTAATGTAGACATTTATTAAATGGTCAATTCTGTCCCAAATTTGTCAGTTAAAACAGAAAAAGATGTAGAAATATATGAATTTTTGTACTTAGGCAAGTGTAAAAATCATTTGTTACCCGGCACAATGCTATACTGAGCAGAAATAATACCATTAACAACACTATAGAGAGAAAAAGACAACAGTTTTCATCATCTCTACCTATGCCTAAAGAAAAGAACACAACAGTTAAACATACAGGAACATGCCAAAAATGATGTCATTGTATGTTTTTGAAATTGAAAGTTAAGTTATTCAATATCATATAAATCAACTGTCCTTGGCAGGATTCGAAGCTTTGCCCCTATTAAATTGCATTGATTTCTGCTTGGTGAGAGCCTTATCCCCATTGCTACCCGAGTGAACATAATCAAGAGACAAGTCAAGATACTTAAAACTATACATCATAGTTGTCAGGCTAAGATCTATATGTAATTTGTTTTCTGTGCAAATTAACCAAAAGCACAGAAAACAAATTACATCTAGATCTGGTAAATGAAAATATGATTTTTTACCAGAAACATTAACATCAAAGAAATTCGATTTTTTGTAACAGATTTCAAGAACCGAGACACTACTCTTGCAACAGATGCACTTATATTGTCATTTTATGCAGCATATGCAATATGTTAGCAAACCTTTTCCATAAAATCTGTGAATTCCATCACCATACTTGGCGCATCTTTCTTCTTACGTTCCAATGATGTTTGCTGTAAAGTCTCCTGCAGTAATTTGGCCATTTCCTGTTTTCTTTTTAACCCTTCCTTAAGTAAGACATCAGGCTGGAGAAGCAATGAAAATAATCAATTACAATAACATTTGACAATATTAATCATGTCTATTCATTTATTATTTTAAATCATTATTTCAGCATTATTTAAGATATTAAGATTTGATAAAAAAAAAACTCTTATATGAACATGTTAATTGCAATACAAATTACACTAAATATATGTGTAAGGCTCATGTTATGCTTTAACACTATTCACTCATCATAATTTTAACTGTTGTCATAACTTTTCATTTCTTTTCTTTTTTCTTTCTTGACAAAGGATTTGATGACTTCCATTCTCCATTGATGCCCACAAGTGAGTCCACCAGACATGTTTTTCAATCCTGCGTTATAACCTTTTATAAAATGCCAGCATTAAGGGCAGCAAACAAAAACTAAGGTCAAGGATGATTTTCACAAAATGAATATCAGTGAGTATTTACATTTACAGATATAGAAAACCTTGAAGTGTCGAACATCAGCTTCAGTAATATGATATATTGCAATAAAGCCTTATTCACTTTAAGTTAAAAATGTTGATTCTGCATATAACAGATGTCAACCTTTCTGCTATAAATAAATTATGAACTCTCATTTGGTGTCACTGTCATGTACTACATTGAGACTAAGGAAAAAAATTAATTACTTGGTATTCTTTTATTTTGATAGTTTCTCTGTTTGAACACATGAGCCCACTTGTGCATATGTTGACAACATGATTCTGTAATTTCTTTGTTGGAAACGTATAAAAATTGATTTTATTAAGTACAGTATCATTTTGACCAAGTTAATTATATTTTTTGATAATCATTTAGCAGCAAAACAAGACATGTATGAGAAATAATGAGGTCCAGGACTTTTCCAAGTAAAAACATTCAGCTGTCTATCATCCAAAGAAATTACTATAAATACAAAGCATCCAATTAGGGCACCTCCTTTTGTCAATTTTACTGAGAAATTTTGTCTGTCCAGGCAAAACAGTTTAGCTTAAATCGTAAAAGATTTCTTTGTCATATCAAAAATAGCAAATCAATCATTTCTGTGTCCTGATCACTGAATCCTTTGCAGCCTTTATAATTTATGATCTGTGATCAAGATGACTTGGAACTTCAGTTATTTGATGATATCATTTTTCTGACCTCTGTAACTTTGGCTGCAAATGGGATAGACATGACAGATGTATTTGAATAAGACTTCATCTGTGCTTTCCAAAAGCAGTCAAAGTTATCTGTCCCTTCACCAGGTCCACAGACTTTTTAAGTCCTACCAACCGACACACTGTTGCATGTCCAATACTAATTATCATAGCAAGTTACTATTCCTTGTTGGTCAAACATATAATGTCTTTTGATCCAGTAGTTATAAGCTATTTGAAGTTATCTTACCAACTGCTTGTACATTATCTGTCAACAAGTGAACATCAAATTGATAAGAACCAACTTACCTTTTTTTCATCTCGTCCAAAGGTGCTAGGTAGAGCGTTTGGAAATAACTTCAAATATACTGGTATCAAAAATTCAAAGAATGGAATTATAATGAAAATCAGATAAGGAATCATTCTGAAGATATCAGCTGAAGTTCTTCTTAGCTGTAAAATAAAAAAAATGTTTTATGTAAATGATGGATAGAGAGATATACATATAGATAATCTGTTTTTCTGCCTATTGATATTGTAAAATTTAAGTTTCTTTCATCAGAATTGAAACATTTTTGAAATTTTTGTGTTTGCGAGACTATACACAACTGGGAGATCTTTATGTCATAAAACCTGGCTTAAACAACCACTTTAAAAAATTAACATGCCTGAACTAAATCAATATATAAAATAATTTTACATTTGTTCCATCATTGTGTATATAACGTATTTTTCTATTTTTGCCAATAATTAAAGAAAGTGAATTTTTTGGAAATACCTTATAGTTCAGTTACTTCAGTACATTTGTAATTATTTATTCAATAATACAGATTTTTGTTGGTCACTTAAAATATATTATACTGTGGATTTGTTCGCTTGAAAAATATATCTCATGCAAGCACTTTATATTTCAGCAGATTTAAATTTTCACATTTGTGATGATAAAATCTAGCATTGTCAAACTACCTTACCTATCAAAATATGTTTTTTTCAGAATTTAAACTTGGTTTACGAATGGTAAATGTAAATTATTATGTGGATCATCTTGATGGAAGACAAACCTTGCAGTTGTTTTTGAACATTTTCATTCTTTGAAGATTAAATTTGTTAATTCCTCTTCACTTTTTTTGCATATATGTATTGTCAAAAAACAATGTTTAATCAGAAACATCAAATATACTAACTTGTTTCAGCTCTCTTCGAGTCAATGTTTCTCCTTTCACTATGCTCTTCCATAAGTAAGACACAGCTATTCTTAATTCTTTGAAAAACAAAACAAACCCATCCAAATAAAATTTTCCATGTTTTTTGATGGTTTGTAATAATGTTGGTTTAGCTTTCACAACAGTGCTCTGTTGGTCTCCTGACAACTTTTCTTCAGTTTTTTCTATTTTAAGTTTTTCTTTTTCAACACGGGGTTGTAATTCTTTTTCACTAACTTCTTCTACTTTTTTATCCGTTCTTTTTTTATCTTTCAACACTTCAACAGCCTTTTCCACAAATGATTTTTCTTTTTCATTATATTGTGAGGATATGTGAAAATATCTAATGGACCCTAATGGAATACCTAAAGAAAAATCTGGACTTATAAGGTGCTTGGTCTTATAATAAGAACTTGATTTATTGTGTTTAAATGTACATTTATAGGACGAAAGAAATGCATAATTATGGCTTCCTGAAGTATGATGTCTTCTGTACTGTGATTGTGTTGACCTGAAAAAAAACCATGTAAATTTAATTACTTGGTGGATTAATTTCCCTTTCCAAAAAATAAAGAAGTAAACAGACTAAGAAAAGCAGGTATTCCGGTAACAAAAAAGAGTTGATGACATTATTAACCGATCCAATTGACACAGTATGACACCTTTTGGTAGTATAATGCAAATATAGAATCTATGGAAATGAGATGTGCCAATGCTAATGCATCTTTATACCGAATACCATTGACCTACCACTAGTTGTCCCCTTGAACTGACCTAATCACAAACTAATACATGTAAACTAAGCAAAAGTTTCATAGCCAATAGACCATGACTGAGGAGGCGGGGCCAAATAATCTCAATGGAAATGAGATGTGTCAATGTTAACACAACTGCATACCAAATACCATTGACCTACCACTAGCTATATAGTGGTTCCCCATAAACTGACCAAATCACAAACTACATGTAGTACATGTAAAGTAGGCAAAAGTTTCAAAGTTAATAGACCATGACTGAGGGGGTGGGGCCAAATAATCTCCATGGAAATGAAATGTCCAATGCTAATACAACTGCATAACAAATATCATTGACCTTCCACTAGTGGTTCCCAATAAACTGACCTAATCACAAACTAATACATCGTTGTAGGAAACAGCATATCTTAGTCTCGCTTTTTGACTCTGTCAAGACAAGACAAAAATTGTTTTAACAGTTCCATGGAATCCCATGTATCACCTGCCACTGCTGCAGTCAGTACAAAGTTAACTGCCCCCGAAAAAAGGTCCATTTATCAGTAAAAAAACTTTTTTAAATTAGGTTATAAAAAAAACCATTTAGCTCGTGGTGCTACCTCTGGAGTATAAAGAAGATTCTGTCCATGTTTTCTAAAATTCTTTTCAGGTTTGACAAAGTTATTTAAATTTTCAAATATTCAACCACAGACTACGGTAAATATCTGAAATTTGACTGCAATAAAAAACAAAGCAATATCTTTATTAATAAAATAAGGAAACATGGGGGCAAAAGTCAAAATTTTACTCTAGATGGTATCTCTTGATTATGAAGCTTCCATAGAGACAAAAATATGGGTCAATAGAAGGTAAATGTTAAAAATACTTACTTAGCTCCATGCCACTTACAACATCCACAATACAATGGTGAAAGGTTGCTTATGGTATCTGCAAAATATATAATGTATTCAAACTATCAATTATAAAAGAAACAAATTATTTTAAATTCAATTCATGCAAAAGGCCATTGACCTAAAAAAAAATGATAGCCCAGAAATTTCTGTCTCCTGACCTATAGAGTGCAATAATATAAAGTAGATTTCATGCGTTCGTAGATCAGATAATACTAGACAATGCAGTGAAGGAAATAATGAAAACTTTATGTCAAAAATTTAAAGTTTGTAATTTTACATTATATTTTTTTGTCTAAAGGACCAGTCACCTTATCATAAAGAAAAGAAGAAATATCTCCTATCATTTGCTAATTGTTCTCACTTCCTTTTTCAACGAGATGAATATAATAGAAAACACACAAATCTTCTATAATAAACAGGATATTACTAAAACTTATCACCATTTGAAATTTTGAATTATAGATTTCCAGGTTCACCATTTAATTGCCAATTAAACAAAACTTTTAGGAAAAAAAACGTCTTTGGTCCGTTTAAATTTATGAAGCTAAAGACAACAGTATTGTTAGGATTTTTCATAATGCCTTTAATATGCACAATTCCATAAAATCCTGCATTTTTTTCAAAAGATAAAACTGTTCTGTATCACTTAATATGTTTACTTTTCACTGTCAGTAAAACAAATTCTCCTGTTAACTTTCTTTGTTATGTAAAAAAATTATTGGTTCACTATCATGACTATACTAAAAATTCAAATCAGGGGTTAGAATTTTACTTTAAATGATCGAAGGTCCATGACCATTTGATTTTCAAGTGAAAAATCCTCCTTAAGAAAATTAAAAGCTATGTATAAAGCCTCAGTGTACAGAATAGGAGGTCTAAGACCTTGGTCCACAGAAATTCAAATCCCTGCAGGTCTGAAGAGGCACAAAATGTATAACAACATCAAAACCTTGACAAACAAAATTAAATCAATTTGTCACTCTTCAAAAACTAAACCATCCAAACAGGACTATTTTGATAACTACATATACTTGAACAGTATTTGGGCTCATGACTTTCACGCTTAAAGCACATCAAATAAATTTCGGCAATCATTCTTCAAGTACATGTAATTTTTATTATAAGAGAATCAGATTTACCAATTTAAAAGTTCCATGGATTAAAACATTCATGTATTAAACAAAAATAGAATAATTTTATCTTCCTTCCAATTGCAATTAATTTACAAATGTTACTCTGTTATATATTGACTGATTTTTTCTAGATCTTTTTGGCTTTTGCCTTTGTTAATTGAAAGGACACGGGTGTCACCATGCATGTAACGTGTCATCATGCATGTAACATGTCATCATGCATGTAACGTTCTACTAATAACCACTGAAGTTTCCATGATTATTTACATTGGTAGGTACAAATGTAGATAAGACACTCTATATCAAATCACATGATAAAGAGTAGCTTCAGTTAACGGAACAAGTGAAAGTGGCATCACAGATACCACACAAAGGAGCAATCACATACTTGACAAACTGAGCCAGAACCTTTTATTTTCTAAAGAAATTTACATGTATAAATAAATTTTTGTCAAAGAATAAGGGGAGATAATTCAAATCTTGAAAAGAAAAATCTTAAATTTCTTAACAGGGTCTCTTTACTTAAAATGGCGCAAATTCATAGAAAATGCACAAATAATAGAAAATGGAACAACTTCTTCCAAAGAACCATATTTGTATTTTGGGTTTTTAAAAAATTAGTAGCCTTGAAAATAATAATTTTTTTCAAAATTTTCATAGGCTTGCAACTTCTCTGTAAATCAGGTTATAGCTATTCATCTTTTGAAAAATTTGCTGTATTTTTTATAAATATATACATATATGCCATTTTAAGTAAAAAAAACTCAGTTTTTGGCACTATCAAATGGGGGGGGGAGTTGGACCTTTATCGGGACTCCGGGATCGTCCATTTTTAAGTTTGGGATTTAGTTTAATCGAGACACGCGCTAATTTGGTCAACGGTTTTAAAATGTTTTTTTAATACAACTTGAATATATTTGCACATTGTTTGTTCTATGGTTTTAAGTCTTGGGATTTCTCCGAAGATAATTTTGTTCATCTTGGTCAAAGTTATAAATGTAAGAGTACTAAAAATTAGTAAACCCGAGGACACGATTACACACAGAAACAAAACAGGATTTAACTAGGTGCATCAGCACAAGATAAGTATTCAAAGAAAAAGTAACCCTTCAAAAGTGTCTAACTTTTACCCAAAAAAAAATTGTTTAAGTTTCGTGTTACACAATCAAGTTTCGAAGCACTTTACAAAGTTATTTACAGAATAATGTCAGTCACTGTGGCAATGATCACCAATACCACAGAGCTAAAGAGGGCCGGCCATATTGAATTTAAAAAAAAGTCGGACAAAATTAAATGGCAAACACAAATAAAGAATTACCTGAAAAAAAAACATTGAAATCAGTATACGCACAACTACTTGACACTGTATCCTGGCTTCGGACTACCACACAAAAAAGTTGCAGAGTAAAGAAGAGTGAAAACGTATACAATGTACAATCATACTCCAAGTAACTGACGACAATTTCTTAAGTTACCTTCTTTTATTGAGCTCAAACTAGCCAACTTATTTATGTGTCTTTTAAGTTTTGGAATGTCGCAGTCTCCACGTACATATAATTTGTTTTAAACTAAGCTCACTAGATTATATTAATAAGATACAGGGATCTGCACAACAGACAGACTGATTGCTTTGGAGGTATACAATCATTAATTGATTTATTTTTCCAAAAAAGCATATGTTATTTTATCGGGATTTCAGAATATTGTCAAATAAGGCCTGGGAATTCGTGATCAGGCAAAAATAAAATCGGGATTTCGGGATTGCACCCCCTCCGACCCCCCCCCCCCCCCTCAAATGATTAATCAAATGTGGGATTGATTCTAATTTGGGGAATAGTTCCCCATTTGGAGGGTTGTACCAAAACCTGAGGAAAGCATAAATTAAAAATATATTCCTCCCAACATGTCATACCTATTTGAACTATATAATGCTATATGTCCTAGTTACATAAGCAGAACCCTCTGGATAATGAAACTTATTTACAGCATTGTCAGACTAGTTAGCATTTCGTAAATTCAATATTTTACATTCTAAACAGTAACTAGTGAAAATAATCTTCAATTTGTGGAAGGCAGTCACTATATGGTAGAAGTAGACTTAAAGAATGCATTATTTTTTTATATTATTCTTTTATAACTCTGGTCATCCTGCACGAACGTGCAAGTCAGTTTTTACATTTATCTCAAATTATCGTTTCTGTTGTGAAGAAAAATCAAGCGTAACGAAAGTACCTAGCTGAACTCTACGTAGGGTTAATGGACCGATTAAACGGTGTGCCATATTTTGACTGCTGTTCGATTAATTCCAAATCAATCCGAAAATAGAACCATTTTTCAGACGATTCAAGATCATCAGTGTTAAAATTCAGCAGATACATTAACTTTCTCGTTCCTCCAGAAAAAGCGTAAGGAAGATCTTGTAAGTGTGAAGGTCACATCTTGACAGCTAACAGACGCTTTCGAAAAACAACTCGCCCCACTGCAAACTCGCCCCAGAACTACCCAACACAACTTTTTGCCAACTCTCCTCACTCATGTTTAAAAGCTCTTCTTCTTCTTCCAAATACTGCCCAAATTCAATATGATGAATATTCTGACAAGTTGTGCATGATTAAAAACTGGTTAAAACAAAATGCCAAAGCAGTTTGATCCCTGACTTAAAGAAAGCTCGACTTAGGGATATTGATCCGGCGGTGGCGGCGTCTGCGGCGGCCACGGCGGCGTTAACAAACTTCTTAAAAGCTTAATATTTCAGGGATCCTTCATACTTTGTATATAGATGCCTTATGTTATGAAGTTTCCGTCTGTCATATGTCCATTGTCCTTGACCTCATTTTTATGGTTTAGCGACTATTTGAAAAAAGTTAAGATTTTTTATATTCTTAATTTCTCTCTTATAATATGAGTAATAGGATAACTATATTTGGTATGTGCGTACCTTGCAAGGTCCTCATGCCCGTCAGACAGTTTTCACTGGACCTCGACCTCATTTCATGGATCGGTGAACAAGTTTAAGTTTTCTTGGTCAAGTCCATATCGCAGATACTGCAAGCAATAGGTCTACTATATTTGGTGTGCGAAATGATTGTAAGGTGTACATATCCAACTGGCAGGTGTCATCTGACCTTGACCTCTGTTTTTCTTATACTGTATGCAATAGGTTAACTATATTTGGTGTATGAAATTATTTTACGATGTACATGTCAGTCCGGCATGTTTTATTTGACCTTGACCTCATTTTTACGGTTCAGTGCTCAATGTTAAGTTGTTTTTTGGGTCTGTTTTTCTAATACTATAAGCAATAGGTCAACTATATTTGGTGTATGGAATTATTGTAAGGTGTATATGTCTGTCTGGCAATTATCATCTGACCTTGACCTAATTTTCATGGTTTATTGGTAAATCTTAAGTTTTCCTGGTTAAGTTTGTTTCTTAGATACTATGTGCAATAGGTCAACTATATTAAACGCATGTAATGATTGTTAGGTGTACATCTCTGTCTGGCAGGGTTCATCTGACATTGGCCTCATTTTCATGGTTCATTGATCAATGTTAGGTTTTCCTGGTTAATTAGTTTGTTTCTTAGATGTGCAATAGTCAACTATATTTAAAGCATATTTGGTGTATGGAATGATTGTAAGGTGTACATGTATTTTCCAGTTTGGTTTATCTGACCTTGACCTCATTTTCTTGAATCATGTTAAGTTTATGTGATAGTTGTAGTAAAGCCTTATATTTAGGACTATCAACATAATATCAATGGTTAGTAAAGAAGGCGAGACATTTCAGCGTGTGCACTCTTGTTGAAATAAAGTCCAAACATGGAATTATTATCAATTACAAAATGAACATATACATGTGATTATAAAATGGAACAAAATAATAAAAACAGCAATACATTGAACATCACAATTATAATCACTGATACCACGACCGAATTGGTCCGGGTACACAGTTATCGTCCTAGTCCCTAGTGTGGACAGTGTGTTACTTGTCGATTTTTTTTATACCCCTTCCAAATTTATTTCTCCATGTTTTATGACTCAAATAGTAAGTAGGGGGGTGAAATGACACTGTAAAAAAAATTGGGTCATGAATTTTAAAGTAAAGTAGTGATTTGGTCCAGCTGAAAAATGTTAAAAATTAGCACTTCGGAAGCTGTCAAAAGATTTGAAGACCCCCTTAACATGAAATTGTCCATATTTTGAGTTAGAGCCGATGAAGTTTTCTATAATTTTGATATAATTTGTCCCAAAAGTAGTACAACACACTGTAAAAATATTATTGAGAAAGCGCAGGTGGGATTTTTTTTATTTTCATTTATTGTCTAAAAGAAATGCACTACGAAATAACTGTGTACTCGGACCAATTGTTGAGAGTTAAGTCCGATGTAAAGTTATTACAAAGAATTCACAGGTTATCTCCCTTATAACACAACAATGAAAATATGTAATTCAGAAGAAAGTAAATTGATCTGAGTATTATATGTCTTGTTTTATAGACAGATTCATATCATACATCTTGTTGACACCTAAAATACACATTTTAGTTACATCTAAGTCATTACAGCTTACTATAAATTCAAATTTCTCAAACTCAGAAAAATTAGAAAAAGAAGGTATTACAGAAATAATGTTTTTGAAATAGTACTTCCCTTGGTTTTTTTAGTTTGGTACATGTAATAATAAAATGAAATTCATCTTCAACTCCTGAATTACACAGTTTACAAGCCCTCTCCTCTACTGGTAATGTCAGATATCGACCTCTTTCGATATATAAGTTACTATTGATAATTTGTATTTTTACAAATGTTGTGATGCCTTTTTGGTCAATACCTGTGAATAAATATTTTTCTTTGCACAAATTATTGTTAAATTAGCATTATGTTCTCTACTTAATACCACCTACCTTTTTGTCATCATTATAAACTAACCCCTCCCAATAATTTTTATATCTTTTCTCTAGTTTGTTCACAATAAATGAAATTAATTTTGACGTCAAAAGGTACCTTGGTTTTCAAAAACCAAACCAATGTCCAAAACCAACAATACTTTTAAAATCTTTTAGTTTATCAAATAAACTATTTTAGGTAAAACAATGTCTTTATAAGACTAATATGTCACATTTCTATATTTTGCCTTTAATAAATATAACTAGTAACTAATATTAGACTTGAATGCAGTCAGAGAGAGAGATAGAGCGGGTAAAGACCCAATGAATTAAAAAAAAAACTAATGAAAAAGACTTCAATTCCGCCGAATAAATACCTGCCAACTACCAGGAAGCCATTATGCAAAAAATTGTCACAGTTGCCCGAAAAAAAAACACAATACAAAACAACGGTTGATATACGCAGGACCAAGATACCAAGATACTTGCAGAAAAAGAAATTCAACATGAAATTAAGACTAAGGTAAACAAATTAACAGATAAAACAGTCAGCCAAAAATGTTCTCCATCATTTGAAAATTTACAGTGAGAGACGGCTTAAATTTATGTAGGCTGATTTCGTACTTTGAGAAAGCTTTCTATATTTGCGACCTTTTTATACGTATGATATTGTTTATTATTTTCCTGCTTGTACTTGTGTTTTTATCTATTATTCCGTTATTTGATTAAGGAATTTTCCTGTTCTGATTTTTATTATATGTTCTTGTATAAACATTTTCTGAGTCCACTTGTTGAGATTAAAGAAGAAGAGGGTTGAGCCCTAAAAAAACTAGTTTAACTCAACCACATATTCATATGTCTGTCCTAATATAAAAATAAGAACATGTGGTTTGACTGGCAATAAGTTGGCCCCTTGCGCTACACAATATTTTCATATTAATATATTGCACAGAGTTACAGTAATATCAGCTATAAATAGTTATGATTTGATCGAAGGAGGAATTCATACGAGAGTGAATTTTTTGAAATAGACAAGTTTTTTTTTATTTAGTTCCTATACCTTCATTTTTTTAATAATTTGTATTGATGATCTTTCAGGTATACAGTCAGCAATGACTCTGACGATCGTTCCGCGGCCCAAGTTAGTCACAAAAACAGATCATATGACGTCAGAGCAAACAGAGATCGTAATACGTCTACCTCGCATAATATTTGTTTTCTCATTTCTAATTCAATATGTGTATACCATTTAATCCTTATTTTTTATTTTAGTAAATTGTGTAAATTTGTAATTGCTTTATGAAGTTTAACTATACAGGAATGGTTTTTAAACATCCGAACTCCACTCCTGAAAAGAATGAAAAGGAAGTATGTCTTAAAATATTTCAAATTATAAAAGTATAAAATATAAATCATATACATGTATATACCTCATACCCCATATCCTTTGTTTTTCTATAATGATACAAACGTGTTTAATATATTCCTTTTTGACTTACAGCAAAAAGTGTTTGATCCAGAGTAACAAGATATTCGATGAAGCAAACTGGGCTAGTAATACGTTGACCCTCTTTTCATTTATGAGGGATTGTTGGTCACTTAACGTCCAGTAGCAAATATGTCATGCATGTTCAGGAAGAGATTTTGGTTTACTATCAGTGGATAATCGCCTACTTCGCAATATCATTTTTTTTCTTATTTCTAATTCAATATGTATATACTATTTAAACCTTACTTTTTTATTTTAGTAAATTGTAAATTTGTTATTGCTGTATGAAGTTCAACAATACAGGAATGTTTTTAAACATGCGAACTCCATTCATGAAAAGAATGAAGAGGAAGTATGTCTTAAAATATTTCAAGGTATAAAAGTATAAGATATAAATCATATATGATACAAACGTGTTTAATATATTCCTGTTCGCCTTACAGCAAAAAGTGTTTGATCCAGAGTAACAAGATAATCGATGAAGGAATCTTTCTGGAAGTAAACGTGTGTTGGAAAGCTTATAAGGTATTCCATTGGTGCTAATTGTGCATTCATGGTTGCATGTGTTACATTATTGTAATGAATCTAAGATTCCTCACACAAGGCAAATAGAATAACATAAGATACCAGTAAACTTTAAAACAAATGTACTTTGGGAGTCAAATATCTATTTCTTTAAGATGACATATATTTCAACCGTAACCTGATCCGTGGAAGTATGGGATTGGAGTTCAATTTTACCATCAGTACACGTTGCACAAGGAAAGGGCCAATACAATCACGCTGTTTTAATCTACATGCTGAAATCTTATTTTTGGTGATTGATATATTCATTCGTTACAGAGTTTTAATTATAGTCCACATTCTTCATACACTTATTATTATAGACTATTTTACTATTGTATAGTCTTATAAAGATTAGCCATGATAAAATTAAGGAACATCTCTCGCTTATCGTTGAAAGTGTGCATTGTTTAAGCCTCTTAACACAAAATCTTGAACAAGTCTTCCCATGTCCATCTTCATCTTACATTACTATTAAATCTGAGTCGTTTTAAAAATCTATAGGTCTTAAGGAGTAATTACATAATATTTTTATTGACTTATTGTTACAACAAAGGCATATTGTTGTAAAGGAAGTTGTACACAATGAATTAAGTCTAATGTAGCATACTGCTTGATAAACAGGTGAAGAAATTATATAGCTATGGGTAAAGTAACAGGATGGTTGCTATTGTTGATAGGTATAGTTTGCATTTTTAGTTCTACAGTGACAGCAACTTTCAACGTTTCTCATCCATGCAACAGACCTTTAGCCAGGTAAGTGTTATTTAATTGTTTCAAACTTAATATCTTAATCAAAAAGGAAAGTCAGCACTAGAAAGTTACATTATATAAGAAAGTCAGGCACTCTAAAACGTCCAATGAAATCTCAGTTTTGACATTTGTCATAATTAAAGTTGAATTCAACGACATATCTTACATTATAATTTCTATGATAAAAACGAAACAGTTTTGTACCCATTAAACAAACAAAAAATATGTGATTGTTAGAACTTAATGACCAGTACATGTATCTTCTTTTTTTACACTTACATTTTTATCATTAATAACAGTTTTATACCGATCACAATTTTCTGTATTATTTTATACACTTTACAGCAGCAATTGGAGAAAAAAAAAACATGAATCAACATTTTGATCTAGCTTTTGGTACCTCTTATAATGGATTGAAAAACGAATTGTAACAACTAATACCTCTACTTTGAGCCATCATCTGAAATGATCTATTTGCGACAATCACATCTCATTTTTAACATAAAAATACTACTTTTAGTTATTTTTCTATTGCATTTTAACAGGGATTGAGCATTGCAATATTCTCAATTCCGTTATCTTGATATAAATATATATATATATATATATACCAAATTCAATTGTCTGTACACTTAAAATGGTAAAATTCAATATTCTTAGTCCGCTTGTTTTGATTTTATAAATTGTTCCTTATTTTTTTCATTAGCTCACCTGGTCCATTTTTTTTTCTATTTCGTTAAAATAGGAACTATCAATGCTGACTTTCACGGACATTATGTGGATTATCATTGGACTTACAACAACATTAAACGTTCTTTTAAGGACATACGATACAGTTACAGGGGATTTAACGTAAAATGTTACTTTCGCGAAGTCAAACTATGACACATCGGAAAAAGATGCATTTTTCGACTGGTTTTTATCATTCAGACTGTTTTAACTTGAACACGAGTTCATGGACCCCTCTTTTTTAAAATGACATTAGGTTTGATTACGTACAAGATTATTTGTACTAATTTTTTTGAAAATGTCGCCGATGAAATTTTTTTTAAATTAGATAAGTATACAGCAAAAAAATGCCGTTTTTTCCAAAATCATGAAACTTTGATAACAATTAATTATTTCCAAAGAATTGTTATATAAATTTAGAACATACTTATGTAAAGACGATTTCCCAAATGTTTTTGCAAAAATCCGCTTTTGTCTATCTTTTGAAGTAAAAAAGTTAGGTGTGTCTATCCAAAGAATAGAAATGTCAAAAAAAATGAAATTTTGAGTAAATGTCTAAAATTTCGACCCCATTTATCTCTTAAAGTAGCACATGAAGGTATATTTTTTATTACATATTTGAATTGACCGGGTGAAAAATAGCTTGTATGCAAATTTTCGTAAAAAAAATCACCGTGGGATCAAAACTGTATCGTATGCCCTCAAGTACAGGAACGTGCGGGGCATAAACGTCAAAAATGCATAGATACAATCAAACGGTGTCAAAAGAAAAAAATAATTAAAATGACCAAAGGTCAATCGAGTTTGTACAATTAAAAAATTAATCAACTGAAAATTATTCAAAGTGTATGAACTAAGCTATGCCTAGTGCATAACCATAAAATTTCCTATTATGAAAATCCAATAAAAGTTGCACCAAACGTAATGATATTTCGCGTTAATGTAAAAGTTTTAAGATTCACCAAATCATATTTAGTTTTTCTATGGTGTGAATTTCATCATTTTACGAATACACAGTGGAACCCACTACTGTCAAATGTGGAGTCATGTTTCTATATCCTATCTGTTCCAGTCAAAAAAGTGTGTGAAGTAAGTGATAAAATTGAAGAGTTCAAACAGTGGTGTCTAAAGCCCTTTTATTTTTTAAATATTGCAAATTCTGTTATTGCTAACATCAACCTATTTTGCGTGTATACATTGTTTTTCCCGGCTGTTGATAATACAGACTGTTACTAATTTTACCACTACTGAAATAACTAATGAAAGGATGTAGCATTGTTGGTACGAAGTATATTAAAACAATAAAGTTAAGATTATAGCATGTAAATGTAAAGCCCTTTGACATTTGTAAAAAAATAACCAACTTTATTAATAGTTTGATCATAGAAATCGTTTCATTTTATTGGTCATACGTGATAAAGGGAATTTTTGTTGTTAGTTTATATATTGGATGCAAGGTTCTTCGTTAAGCTACTTAGTTAAATATGGGTTGAATAGACTAGGTTATTACAAACAGATAATCTATATTTAAATCAACATAAACATTGTTTTCTCTTGTAAACCACAATGTAACCATTGCAACTCTTATTTTGAGACTCATGGTTTAATAGCTTCCTTTGTATTTATCTCTTCCTTATTTTGTGCGACGAAATGCACGTCGTTACGTCGAACACAACGTTAGATTTGATATGTTTTGTTTCATGTCTTTTTCCTTTTCCTTTCTTTTCTCTTCTTTTCCTTGATTTTTTTTGTTTTTTTTTTGTTGGTTTGTTGGTTTGGTTTTTTTTTTGTGTTTTTGTTGTTGTTGTTGGATTGTCGTCTGTTATACATATACTCTTCTTCTCTTTGTATAGATATATCTAATAATTCGACACTGCATTTACTGTTGACACCCCGTACTACGATAGTATATCCGATCCATCCCAATGGTCATATTACCTTCAGATATCTGTTAATGGAACATATTTATTTCGACCCTCATTTTGTAATGGCTTATCAATTCGTTGAGACGACCATTAAACTGGATGCTGGTCGAGATTAGATATAAGCAACCCTCTCGGCTATCAAGGTAAATCATAGTGAATGTCAAACCTAACCAACAAACAAAAAAGATACGGAAGTATAAGCATACTGCCCTTGGATGAAGGTGTTGGGGGTAGATTAACACACGAGGGAAACATTATCACCCAAGACGAAGACTCAATGGAGGATGATAATTTTTTCACCGAGGGTGTTAATCACCCTAACACCTTCATCCAAGGGCAGTATGTTTTTTTTATTATACTGAATGCGTTATGATTCAAGTCTGCACTATGTTATTAGAAGGACAATTGTGAAAAAATAAAGCCATAAATTAAGATAGTTTACTAATAACTGTAATGACTTTAATTGGGCGTAACGTAACGTTATACTTTAGTGTTCCGTATGTAACGTCACATCCTCGGTTAATTTGTCATGCTTTCTTATATAGATTCTGATATACGTTCCACTGTCATTTTTTGTTGTCTAAATTATTTCAATAACAACAACAAAACGACGGAAATGATGTAGAAATAAGAATCGGTAAACCTCGGCCGTAGCGGGTGTTAACTGTTCCGAATCGGCAAACCTCGAGCTCAGGCGGGTGTTAATTTTAGGCATTAACACCCGTTGCTAATATTATCACATGTTGCTATGGAAGGGCGGGGTTAATGAAAGATTAGTGAAAATTAACAAATGCCGCGTGTCCAATGAAATGAATGGATGATATAAGAAATTTGCATAAAGTATAATAATACTATTTATTATATAGATATAAGAAGATGTGGTATGAGTGCCAATGAGACAACTCTCCATCCAAGTCAAAATTTATAAAAGTAAACCATTATGTTTGTAATATCAAACCATTTGCCTGCCTTTCTCAAATGAAAAGCATAAGTCGGAGAAGACTTGCATGACGGATGATGCATGCATGACAAGAAAGGCTTGCTTCGAGAATTTACTTCAGAGCTTTATTTTGAAATTATAAAGAAACTAAGATTTTTACTTCCTCAGGCAAAGTTGACCTTAGATGGATTTGACTTTTTTGGGTCCTTTTTGGTTATATAGCTCTACAACTGTTTTCAATCTTATACATCCTTATCTTTGGTATATTCGGCTTTTGGCGTTCCTGGTGAAGGTAAATCCAGAAAAGCGCTTCGGATGCATGATATTCATAAAGTGTTGTTTTCATTTCTTTTTATCAAGATAACTCTAAAGTTATTCTGTAAATTATGTTTGGAAAGACGTTGGAGGATTTAAATTTTTTTAAATAATAATCTCCGTTAACCTCCTAATATCTTGGTTTTACATTTTTGTTTATTTATATTAAATGTAATATGTATTGCAGTACGTTTTCGTCAAACTTGACAGAAGAGATAAAAGTCAACTGTACAAATGGTACCATGCCATGGAATGTGCCTATGAGGTATCTTGAAACAAGGTTTCAACCAATAAACATCGAAGAGGAGCATTGTCTTTGCATCGAAAGAATTTCAAGCACAACCATTGATATTATAGAGAACGATGATGGTGAATTAACTTGGCTACCGCTTCCTAAACCAGGTATTTTAAAATTTTCTTTTATTAATATAAACCAGTTGTCATTATTCGCATTTTAATTATTCTTGTAACAATTATTTCAATAAATCTTTCAATGAATTATGATATTAATAATTTGATAATTTGACATATTTATCTGGTTGATAACTATTAAATGATCAAGCCACTGGCCTGCACAGCCAACTTTGATAAAACTTTCATATGGAAAACTATTAATTGATGTTCGCATAACGTTTTGTGGAAAAATTTCATATATATATATATATATATATATATATATATATATAAAACAAAAAACAACTCGAACAATATATCAGAGAGCATGGTAATGCCATGGGACACAATAAATAAAGAATTAATGATCCATATAAAAACTCTATAATACTAGTTACTACATATCTTGACTGACATCTAAAAATTGACAGTGAGGGACTAAAGTTGACGACAAAAAGATGATTTCAATTTCCCAAGTGTCATCTTTCCGTTTTTAATGTAGCAAGATTCATGCGCCATCTTCATATACGTATATTATCTATACCTTGTTGATATTCGGGACTTCCCCTTTCTTTAAAGGTTACTGCTCACAATGTCTTTATTGAACAGGACATCTAATGGTAAAGTTTTAGCCATTCCTTATTTTAAGTACCTGCATAAAAAGCTTTGACGACTGTATATATTATGAAACACATCACAATTTCGTGTATTTTTTTAATTCCGACAAACAAATAAGTTCTTTATTAACTTTGAACCTTACTGCTCACACGTGTATTCAAATACAGTATATACATAAGGCATATTACAACTAATATTACTTGAGATCACTTTTACTGTTAAGTCTGGTTTTTTTTGTGATATCCATTTGACGTGTCTCTGTACTTATGTATCCCGTCATACTTTGAACGACAAAATTATTTTATATCTACATGTGTGACGTCAAGCACGCGACTCTACGCCAGTACTTAAAAACTTCCATCCTTTATGGGTGGGTTTTACATAGATAAATAAAATCGTATAATAAAAAAGCAAAATGAGGATATTAAATTTGATGTATGCCTTTTTTTTTTTTGCTTCTTTGTTACATTTGTTTCTTTTTATAGTGATTAAGATGATAACACAATGTTGATTGATGTACCCCTATTTTTGACATTTTTACCTATTGTGTCTGTTTGTTTTGTTCACGCATTGTTGTCAATATAATGGAATTTGATGCGACTGTCATACAAGTGAGAGGTTTAGCTAGCTATAAAACCAGGTTCATTCCACCATTTTCTACATAAGAAAATGCCTGTACCAAGTCAGGAATATGACAGTTGTTATCCATTCGTTTGATGTGTTTGGGCTTTTGATTTCGCCATTTGATTAGGGACTTTCCTTTTGGAATTTTCCTCGGAGTTCAGTATTTTTTGTGATTTTACTTTTCACTATTGATTGTGTTTTGTGTTTCATCTAATTGATGAAAAATAACATCCCTCCTTTGATTTCTTAACGATAATCTCTCAATCAAAACATCGAACTATGAGCCTTCGGTAATGCTTAGACGAACCCATTTATAAAAATTTATAAAATTTGTATAACATGTTGTATACTATGTCAAAATAAATTTTGTATAATGATTATGTGATATGGCATTTGTATTTTGTTTCGTTTTAGGTAAGCCGAGCTGTTCTAAGCCTAAATTTGGAAACATCACAATGGCGTTTAAGGGTCCACATTTCCCTACATCGTTTGCCGTATTTATATCATTTAAGTTAGTTAAGCTGTCGAAACAAGAAAAGGAATAAGAGACAGTAACCAATGTTTCAGAGTTAATAAAAAAAAATCTATCTTTTTTTTAATCATTGTATATTTTCAAAAACGAAATTTTTGATTGAATATTTGAAGCCATTTAATTAGTATATGCTTGATAATAATGTTTTATTTCGTGTTTTGGAAGTTATACATCATTTGTTTTACATTTTTTGGGTAAGAGCGTTCCTGATGAAGGTAAATCCAGCAAAGCCCTACGGACGCACAAATTCATAAAGTGTTATTTTCATTTTGCTATCCCTAGTTTGATACCGCTGTTTATGAACTGTTAGTCACCGAAGGCATCATCAGCTCGATAGTCGGTGCTTCGGTACTGATATGATTTAAAACATACTTTTGCAATTACATTTTTTAAAAAATAAGGTTCCAACTCCGTCAGGTTTAGTTGATTTTAGATGAATTTGGTTATTCCTTTATGCCACTTTTGATAATATAGCTTTTCACGTGGTTAGGTAGAAATATATCATTGGAATTAAATTTTTGAAGAATATAAGCAACAATAGTTAATCGATGTTCAAATCTCATAAATCGATTAAGAAGACAAATCAAGATTACAAACACAAACTGAGTTAATCACATGAACTCTAAAGGCACAAGACCGGGTGCTTCGTTAGAGTATGCGTTATCTGCAATGCATGTAAATCCACTCCCAGTCACAATGCCACAATTGGGATTAGAACACAATCGGTAAAATCACAAACCAGACGATTATTCTGGTATCTAAAGATCTATGACCGCGAACACTTTTGTAGTGTCGATTTCACTCGCTCGTCTTCATTACTATTTGGAGCAGGTTTTGTGTTGGGAGCATACCCTTGCTAATGAAGTCCGTATGGTATAAAAATGCACAAGCGTACCGTACCAATTTAGATACACAAACGCCATACGATGGAGCAGAGGGTGTGCTACAGTTGAGAAATTGGAAGTTGGACAGTTGATATCATCACGTCTGTCATAGATTCTAGTTGAAGTCGTCGATATGTGTCAATTTCGAGGAAAAGACCAAGATATGAAGAGACTTTCTAGTTGCATTAGTATTCTACATCTCAAGTTCATTATGATACATGAGATGCAAACTCACTGAAATTTGGGTTATTGAGTTACAGGATATTGTCAGTATATATGCAGGGGGGAGGGGTTAAAAAACAAAACTTTATAAAATTAATGCGTCTGAAGCGCTTTTCTGGATTAAACGTCATCAGGATCACTCAAAGCTAAATATCTGAAAGAACTCGAAACAGTTGAGGAGCTATATTACCAACAAGGGTCTAGAAAAAATAAATAGCCAAATCCATCTAATGTTAATTTTGCCTGAAGGAGTTGACACCTTAGTTTCTTTATAATTTATGAAAGGACTGACAGTGATATTATAGAACTTTTTTTGTCTTAGCTTTACATATATCCTGCTTCATATTGAGTACACAAACAAGTCGGTCAGTAGGGGTGCACAATTAGAATCCGTTTGAATACCGACTTTTAGATCAAATACTCTGCAAATATGTTGCCGATTAAAAAGTCCTGAATTTTGATATCATCTTCGGTGTATTTGTTGTGATAATCAGTGTGGTTCTTCAAAAACGAAACATTTCGTAATGGTAAACATGGAATTTGTATCTAAGTCTCCAATTCATGTAGAAAAGGCTCTGTTTAATATAAGACAAATTTTTAAGTATTATTGGAAAATTGAAACGATTATAATTGAACATTTTATAGAGTAGATCTTTAGTTTTTGTAAGAATCCACATCTGATCGACACCGTTGGTTGAATATACCTAATCGTTTTAATTCTGAAGGCCATCTTTAACTTTAGAAAGAATGGTGGTAAGAACTTAAGAGAGATGTTAATTCGAACATCTTGACGACCCGGATATATGTTGTTATTAATAAGAATTTTTGTGAAGTTTATGTATCCAGTATAAAGATGGGATATTTTCATCAACCTTTCTATATTAACACCAAAGGGGGGAAAGACTGATTTGTTATTTTCTAAAATCTCCTCTTTCGTGAATGATTTAGGGGTAATTGTGGGGTTCCTGGTTTTACTGTGAATTCCAAGTTCTTTAGTAAGACACTTCAAAAATTGATTTTTCATATAACAACAATATTATTAGAGGCTTTGTCTGCTTGAACAAAACCATATTTGTGTACAGGGAAAGGTAAAGTATCCGAAACATCGGGCCTCTTGAATAGTTTAGAAATCCGTGTGCTCATAATACATCGAAGATTTTGAATGAGCTTCTGAACTCATGACCGACTATCTTTGATCCAGTCAGATACATTGCCCAGTTTTTGTTCATTTGGGTCGCGTTTTACCTATTTTCTGGCATATTCAACATTTGCATCCATCAGTCACCTGAAGTTCTTCTTCCAGTTGATTGGCAAGAAAAATCGATATTTCTGTTCTTTGGCTAACAACTCTCTAATTTGTTCACTATTTACGATGCAAGGGTCTCCAGATAAAATATGACCAGCAGGGCTATTATTTGAATAGGGACGATGAACAAGAAGGCAAAGTCTCTAGTATCCTCTTGTGGTTGATAATTTTGGATGCAATAAGTTCAATACCGCTGCTGGTGGACTGTAACTATAATAAGCTCAGTAGTCTGCGCGTCGGTACCGACTTGATTTATAACATACATTTGCATTTAAATTCTCTGTTGATAATTTGATAAATTGAATTTGAAAAAAGGTTCCAACTCCCTCAGTCAAAGAGAGGCGAAAGAAAACAAAGGACAGCCAAAATCATAAGTCTAAAACAAACTGACAATACCATGGCAAAAGAAGAAAAACGACAAAAGAGAAACAACAGAATACAAAACTCAACACAGAAAACTAAAGACTGAGCAGCACAAACCCTATCAAAAGTCAAAGATGAATTTGGTTATCCTTTATGTCTCTATTGATCATATAAGCATTCCAGAGTTTAGGTAGTTAAACATCCTTGGCATTTGATTTTTGTTTTTGGGTGTGAGCGTTGCTACTGAAGGTAAATCCAGATACACGCTTCGGAGTCTACCAAACTATAAAGTGTTATCTTTATCTTTTCATTATGGAGATGATTAAATCGCCAGGTAACTGGAATTCTAATGATGAAGACATTTTCATCTGGATTTGTTTCTTTACTATTATGAATTAGAATTGACTTCATTAAAGACCCAACGAACAACAATTGATGAATATTTTAAGAATACCTGCAGATAATTACACGACATTTCACTCTTTACAATCCCGATTTTTCTTAACATTATAACGGAAGAGAGATCGTTGTCCTTTTTTAGATCTTAATTCTACAACTTCTTACAGTAGTTTCATACCAAATTTGATGAAAAATACGACATAGAAAGTAGATTCCTAACTATTGATGTTAAGTAGTATCTTTCAGTTATTAGTATTTCATTGTTAAAAGATTTTAATTTTCGATATATTCTTCAGAGGCACACAGCTACTTTAGTACTAGCAATCTTGCTGTACATCTATTTAGATGCATATAAACTGTACATCTGTAAAGATGTAAATAAACTATACATTTGTTGAGATGCATATAAACTGACTGTGCATCTGTTTAGATGCACATAATATGTACATGTTTAAAGATGCATATTAACTGTATATTTAACTGTGTATATATATCTTTAAAGATTTACAGTTTATATACGTTTTAACGTATGCACGGTTTATACGCGTCTCAACGGATTCACATTTTATATACAGCTTTACAGATATACAGGTTACTAAATGTACATCACGATTGCTTGTACTTTAGTAGCTGTGTGGGGGTTTGGACGGAGGACATTTAGTTAAAATTTCATGCTATTTTAATCTCGATGTGGTTTTACGTAAAACAACGTCAACATTGTTGGTAGGTTATTAAGCGTGTGCAAAACATATCATTTCAACCGTTTGATATGTTTTATTTTGACTCCATTAAGTGAATATTCCTGTCTTAGAGAGATATGTATTATACAAAAAAAGTGTGTACTCCAAATTAAGTGACGCATTTTTATCACTGATCAAATATCTACAAAACTGTATTTAATAAAGAATGGAAGGTGCCTAACCAACCATTGAAAACCAGAGGACAACACATGAACTGAAAAAAAAAGCTTTGAGCCGTGAGGAAAGTGGAAAGACAAATAAACTATCTCTGTAACAACTCCAAATGAACGGATAACAATTACCATGGAGCTAAATAACACTGCAAATGGGCGTAACAAAACGAGGTTAATGTTCAAATTAATACGTTGAATGAACATACTATGGAAGTGTAGACATCCTGTGCTACACTTGTAACTCCAAGTGGTCAAATAAAAATTTCAGACTGAATACTTTATTTACTACTAGTTTTATTCAACTGCACTCGAATAGTTTTCCTGTTACAATTGAAAGAAATCATATTTATGTATATAACGTTGAATCACGAAAAAACAATAAGAAGCTCAAACTGATCAGTAAAACAAGTTTAAAAACCATTACTGAACAGTAAAAATTAGTTTAAGGTAGATGTTTACTGGCAAGTTTTAATCTATCAAACACGATCTTAAACTTGAATTTCATACAAATGTATCTTATCAATTGTCAACCATTGGAAGCATTTGTCAAAATGTGAATACCGATATATCCTGTTGACATTCAGTTTTCTGGATTGAACACAAACAGGTTCATGGTCACAAGTTAAAAAGGAAGGAATATGAATACAGCAAAAAAGACAAATCATTTAATTTCAAGTTTGCACGAGTAAAAATTTGTTTAATCATATGGATGCTGCTTTTTTTTAATCTTAACTGACCACTAGCCGAATAATACCACCGAGGAATAACAGTCAACTAGTAAATGTGTTGTCTCGATGATGGTAAATTAAGTAACACCATTAATCTAATTTCACAAAAAGATTTTTTTGAATAAGGCTAATGAACAAACATTTGTCAGTACAATAACATCATCTTTCTATGGTTAAATATCAACATGTTATTTAGTATTCTATACATAACCGCTTCAACATGTAAGTTACGTAAATTTCAAACCTTTTGACTTTTCAACATGTATTCTTAATTCTTTTCATTTTGTATAAAATTTGTATCTTCCATTATATGTCACGACAATTCATAATTTTAATAAGTAAAGGAAATGATCAAACGTTTTATTGCTTACGATAAATGACCGACATATTTGGAAACCTCCGGTTACAGCTAAGTGTCCCAAAATATTTATCATCTTTAGTATAAAACGTGTTGCGCCTTTTCACTTGTAATTATAATTAACAATGACTTCACAAGGAATCTTCGTATTTCTTGTCTGTGTGTATATCGGTTTATCATACAGTTTAAGGATTGATCGATGCAACATAGGAATTAAGCGGTAAGTGATTAATATATGAAATACAACTGATATTTTGAATGATATATGAAAAAAATGTTATGTGTTTTTTTTTTATATAAACTGTTAATATCAAGGAGAGTAAACTTTTGTTGTCTCTTTGACATATTCCCCATTTCCATTTCCATTCTCAATTTTAATTTTAAATAAGGATGCCATTTAGATACTGCTGGGTCGTTTGATATGCAATAAATTGGGTTTTTTTTATGTCACTTCATATTGTAAATTTATAGTTATGACAGTTAATGCAAAACCACTTTGTAAATTTGGTGCGTCCGAAGTTACTTTTTACTCACACTAAATATTGTGTTGACACGTTTAAGAGGTATATTATTCTTAAACTAAGTCTTAAATATTATTTTTCATAACGTTCCGATGGTTTCGTAAGAATGATCTGTATATAGATGCTTCATGGGAAAAGATACAAAAAGTATTGTGTATGACTTAAAGAAATCAATTGGGTTTTTGTAGAACAACAATTTTCTGAAAAAATCGTTATACAAAAGGATATGCTCAGAAATGATTCAGTGACAGCAATTATTAACGGTTTTACATAGATTTACCAAAAAAAACCCAACATATTTCATCCGAGAAGCAGATATTAGTGAGACATAAGAAATAAATATTATTTATGATAAGGAATGACTTATGACGGTGGCGTTTACTACAATATTTATAAAAACTAAAATCTTTATCGAATTAGGAAAAGTACCGGTAATGTATCTTTTATTATTCACAAATTTGATTCCCTTAAGTACATGTATATACTTTTTTATTTAGCTCATGGATTGGCTTATATAAAATATTACTGAAGGAAAAAAACGAATACGAGTAAACGAAATCACCATAACGTTCAGGGTTATAAAACATGACTTAAATAAAAAAGAGATTATAGTTTTTAAGTTTTTATGGTTATGGTCGATAAGCAAAAGGAGACAGATGTTTCATAGAATACACAAATTGATTTATAGATTTTATTTCTTGTATGAATTTCAATATTGGTCAATATAAGACTGTATTCCGATTTTAATTAGAGCGTTCGAATAACCAGAAAAATAATGCCTCTTGACGAATTAAGATTTTATCAAACGTACATTGATCGCATTGTGTATGCATTTTTATGTAAATGTTTATTAGTATGTCATAACTTATTCATTAAATTCCGAAAGCACACTAATCTTTCAAATGCAGAGGTATGCATGTACGACCTGATAGAAATTCATGAAATCCTTTCCCTTCATCTTCGTTAATATTAGACACAATAAGAGACAATAAAATGGTCTGTGTCCTTCCACTTTTCCATTTTCTATTAAATTTCGCATATTTTCTTTTTAACATTTTTCAATTTTACTAAAAAAATAAGTCAAATGCCCAGTCTATCAAAACCTCTATTTCTTCCTTTCACACAAGTGTTTAACGCATGTTTTTTGTACAATTCATTCACGTTCGAATATCTATAAATAGCATTGTATTATATTATATTTACTCAGCCGACGAGTACAAAGAGTTGTTCTGCCATCCAATTGCACAGAAGGTACGCTATATTGGAACTATCCAGAACGGACTTTGAAAGTGGTTGTTCCAGAAGAAAATGGGAAGTTCACATTTTGCGTGGGATATGTTCATGATCCATTTGTAAAAAGGGCACGGATAACTACCCGTTTAGGATCTAGGAAAATCAATCTTCCTAGTAAGAAAGGTATGCTTTTAAAAACGATTTTAAAGACAAATGTAGTCATTCTACATAGTGTATCTTCCTAGTCTTTTTTTATTTCATAATATTTTTATTGTCAATTTTTTGGCTTTGACATGGTTAAGATCCAGAAACATGATCCTAAAACGAAGAGTTGTAAAGACAAGAAATTGGAGCATCGATTTCGATCAAAACGTAGAACAATAAATGCAGCAAAATCAAAATATAAATTTAGTAAAAGAAATAGCAAGTATGAATTATTAAAGTCCGGTACTCATAATTGAGACCAACTGGACAACATAATGTCTTCAGCAAAAGACTACAATTCCGCCCTCTATTGTTCGATATAAACATCATCGAAAAAGATTTATCCCCCACATTTTTCTTGCAATGAACAACGCGACGGGAAACACTTGTGGAGCAGGTAATGCATACCCATCCGGAGCGTATGAGGTCACCCTTAGTTTTTGTTTAAAAGGGGACCCTGTTGTTTTTTCTTTAGTTTTTGATGTTGTAATTATTTTTTTTTCAATGTCTGTGTTGTTTCAATAGGTAACAGTCATTTTAATCCTTTTTCATCCATAACCATGTTTTCGTTTTAAATTTTCACGTTCGGTTAGGTTTGAGAGTTATAGAATTTATGAATTCAGCTGGTTAAGGAATTAGGTGAACAATTTGCTGAAATGATGCCTAGTCGCCGTATTTTACTCATCAAGGCATTTTAATAGTCGTCATTAGTTTAGGGGTAGCTGCTGACGCTTTCGGAGCTTAACTAGTTTTAACCACTCGACTCCCCTCTTATTTCTACCATAACCCAAACGATACATAAAAGAACGTTGTGTAAAAACCGATTCAGAAAAGCACTAACTCCATAATACCTATTAAATGGCCATTCAAAACACATGTATTAGTAAAGCGATAATACCACAATGATCGACATAGCCCTAGCTGGTATATGCTTTCTACAATGAAAGTTTTGGCTAATACTGTAAATTCAGAAATTACTGCGTAATTTATTATTGCGATTTTTCAAGAATGGACAAAAATGTGAGATTAATTATTGCGATATCATGAAAATCTGCATACAGATATATGTAACAGACATCAGATTGCGAGTTCTTATTATTGCGATAGTCACCCAGTCGCATTATTCGCATTAATAAAAACCTCGCAATAATTTCTGAATTTACAGTAAATGTTTCATAGAGCCAAGCCTCCGATTGTAATGCCAGTTAATTTCTGTTCGAACCATCTATGCCTCCCAGCCACAATTAAAACAATTTTCAACTTTGAATTAAATACATACCATTTTCAAAGACAGGCATGTCCAATGTACTAACACACAAGTGAGAGTACCAGTTCGATTTAAATAACAAAGTATTAGTTTCTAGAAACTTTATGTGTTTCTATTTTTTAACAAGCCACTGGAACCACCAACGAGGACTTTATATTATGCTTTATGCTACATTATAGATCATTATACTTGACGAAGTTCCTTTGAAATGTTTCGTTATTTTATATTCATATGCTAAACATATATTGTAAAACGTAAAGTGACATGGAAGTTTAATACTTACAATTGTAGTTTAATAATATTGTAATAATTTTTGTTTTCCAATTTCAGACCAGTCAGAATGTTTTGACTACGATGGAGGTTTGTCCCTTACATTTTTTGGACCAAGACGTATGAAGACATACATGGCCTTTATTCCATATACAAAGTCCAAAGTAGAAAACAGGGACAAATACAAAGACTTCATTAAAAATCTGAGATGAAAGCCTGATTTTTTCGTGACACTTACCAGAATACTTTTTTTGTGCTAGATCAAAAGTATTAATTCTTTGAAAACCGTACTGTATGGAAACTTGTAAATAGATTAATCTTCGAAGAGATCAGATTTTTTCAATACATAACATAATGTTGATTTATTAGTATATGAACTAAAATATTTGTATTGTTATTCAAATTTGAGACTGAGAAATTACAAATGTACTAAATTATAATCATATATAAAACAAATTGAAATGAAAATCAGTGCTTTACCATTTTTTCACTGCTATATTTTGGACACGTTTTTCACATTCCACGGGTTAAAGGTAACAAATAAACTATATTAGTACTTTATTCTCATAATTACATACTGTATTAATGTATTTTTCATGAAATATACAATGAAATGGAACATTTGTACTTTCGACATATAAAATGTAACGAGTACATTGAATTATAAAGCTGTGTCAATCCTCTCTCTCTCTCTCTCTCTCTCTCTCTCATGTGAGTTAAATGGGTATTCATGATAAAATGATACAACATTGAAATACGTTTAGATATTCAGTAAAGATTGAAATAAAATTGAAACCATAAATCGAGATTTGCTCTTTACAGATTCATTTGATTTTCGTTAACAATTTAAGATCAAACTATAATTTTTTTCCCTTTTATTAAAAAGTATTTACAAACATGAAAATCTTCAAACGTAACAAAAATGCGTAAACTATCACTTAAGAAAAATTGTACTGTTAATGTTTTTAGAAAGCCTTACAGCATTCACTAAAAGTACCACTAAAACTATTTTCACAGTATTTTAAATCTCGAGAATGGTTTTCAACATTTAAAAACATAATTGGATCAATTCTCAATGATAAATGTTGTAATTGCTTATTGAATACAGCTACGAATATTTGATGATAAAAACTTTTAATTCTCAATGCTGTGCCATGTAACAAATACTTTTTTTATAAGTCAAAAGTGTTGATTGAATGAAAACCATAATGTTTTAGGGCTTGTTAATATTATTATTTCTCAAAGATTTATTCAACACATTACAGTTAATGCGGATTTATTAGTTTATACGAAATAATATGTTTTTATTGTTATTAAAATAGGAAACCGAGAAATTACAAATGTTCTAAGCTACTTACTGAAAATAAAAACCAATTATAAAAAACGGGAACATGCTTAACGCTACAAATGATAGGACAAATGGAAAATTACTATTATTTTGATGTTTTTATTACCATTTTTTCACTGTCATATTTTTGAAATGGGTTAGAGGTAAGAAAAACATATCATGTGTAAATATTTTTTCATAATTATCATATATTATCCTCATAATTACATTATATATAAAATAAATTGTGCATAGTCAACAATATACAATAAAATATTACAACATTTAAAGCTTCAACAAATATGTAGTGTAATAGGGAGAGACCATTCGTGTCATTAGCGGCATATACATACCGTATACAATTTCAAATCGTATGTTTTAAAATTTAACGGGTTAAAACATACTTCTAAATCCATAATATCTCTATCTCAGAATAATTCGAGTTAAGTGTATATTCATGATAAGATGATATGGTATTGAAATACAGTTAGACAATTAATATAAGAAGAATTGGAATACTAGTATATATATATAAAACAAGAAAATTTGCACTTTATACATAGATTTATGCTTAAACAAATTTAAATCAAACTATAAATTCATGAAAAACTTCGTGTAGAAAAACAGGATAAAGCATCTCACACCATTCACTGAAGGTACCAGTGAAAATTGTGTTCGCAGTATTACACTGCACAAGAATATTATTTGTTCTCATCATCCAAAATCATAATTGCATCCAGAAACAATCATACATGTATTGAAAACATTAATAAAATGCTAAATACAACACGGTACATTTATACAAACTTTTAATTCTCAGCGCTGTTCTATTATAAGATATGCACTAATCCGAAGTCGTATGCAAAAAAGGTCTATTCATCTGTAGTCCAGAGTTTGGACCGTTTGGTGTTATGTTACTCTAAAGTGTATTGCAAATAATGTTAAAAGTAACAAACAGTATGAAGGAGTTGAACCATTGGCTTTGTTGAGTATGTAGATAATTGTTGGCTTTCTGTAAGGATCAAGTCCAGGGTCGAACCTTTGTGGACAGTCATCAACTGTAATCGGATATGTATACATGTAATGAAACAGCTTATTACCGAAATGATTATTAGCGATTTTGTGAAATATGTATCAAATAAAAAACCTTCAATATTTCAGTTGAATACTAGGTATTCTATTAATTAAAACCCATGTTTATTATTTGCTGTGCATTATGCATGTTTTGATAATTTCCTTTCTATATAAGAACCAATTAACTCGGCACTACGAAATAAATATTGTTCTCTTCGAAAGTTGGTTTATTTTCTATGAATTACAATACATATTTTATATAAATTACAATACATTATCAATTACCATTAATAACTTTTTTATGAATGTAATTAATGATGTTGATTGTATTTATATCAAAATATCGAAATATATAAGGCAAAGGTTTGGTCTGCGACTGTGTCATTTAAAAAAAACTTGCATTCTCTTTATTTTTCAGTGAGTTTCATTGCTGCATCGTCTACCATTAAACAAAAAAACTTCTATTGCCTTTATGTTCACTGATTTCAATGGCACACTTCTTTCGTAGAATAAAAAAACAAGTGAAACTGCGAGCTACTGCTCACTGATGATACCCCCGCCGCAACTGGATAATTTTAATAGTGTAAAAATATGTAAGTGTTCGGTAAACAGGAAGTTGTTAAGTGATGAATCTGAAAACGCATCATACGGTATAGCTGACTTCTATAAACCCTGAAACCAAATTTCAAAAATCCTTATGATGTAGTTCCTGAGAAAGCTGCGACGAAAAATATTCATGGGACATATGGACGGACTGACGGATGGACTAACGGATGGACGGATGGATGAACGGACGGACGGACAGACAGAGGTAAAACAATATACCCCCACTTTTTTTAAGCGGGGGTATAAACACGTGTGATACCAATTTCAGTGCGCACAACACGGGTATCTGGAATAGTATACTGATATAATAATAATTTTAAAGCCTTAAACCTTTGAAGTCGTTAACAACATAAACGGTACCAACTTTATTGAACCAGAAAAGCATTTCGACAACTTTTATTAAAGTTTCAATGTCGAACCACAGGGGCTTGTTTAAGGGGTCAGATGAGATTTTACTGTCAATGTCGGTCGCTATCATATAGGATAGCGACCGCCATTGACAGTAAAACCGCTTCTGAACCACTAAACAAGTCCCTGTGGTCGAACCTGTTACGTCTAACTGACTAAACGTGATGCGGTAATCGACTTTCAGCGAGTACCAGTTCCAGCACAATTTTACTGAGAAATTCTCCAGTATTCACTCTGAGTTTTAAGGAGGTAGACATAAAATAAGGGACAGTACCCTTAAAATCACTGGCATGTTTGTGTTTAATAACCTTTTTCATAAATATACTGTACGCTGTTAATTTACACAGATTATTTTGTGCTAGCAACAATTATTCTGTTTGACATGACTGCTTGAAATGCATTGTTGAAACCGCCATTTCGCAAACACATTACTGATTTGAAGGATTACCTCCTTTAACCAAGGCTCAATCCCTTAATTTAAACGATCCAAATAAACTTATTGTTCCTTTGACTAAAATCGTTTTCAAAGGTCCTAATTTTGCATTGTAGTAAGATCTTTGAATATTTTCTTTATCTGTACTAATATCATTTTATTTTTAACTGTTTAATACATAATCGGATTACTAAAATCTCAGTCAAGTTACCATTCTTATAACTTTGTACGCAAAATGCGCGTTTCGTCTACACAAGACTAATCAGTGGCACACGAATCAAGAAGTTGAAAGGCCAAATAAGATAAGACTTTGAAGAACATTGAAAACCTTAAATTCCAAAATATGTAAAAATTTAACTACGGCATTTTAACCCTGGTGTAGAAAACCTGAGTATTTCTAATGATTTAAAAGTTTTAGGAACAACACATGTACAAAAAATGACATATCATTAAACTGCATATCGATTATATGTCAGGTCAGCTAAGAAGTGTTGACTACTGGAATGGTGATGCTTTCTATTCGACACGTCTACCAGCATTGGCATCGACCCAGTAGTTGTTAAATCTCATCAAAGTTACCAGGCTTATAATTTTGTACGATAGACGCGCGTTTCGTCTACACAAGACTCGTCAGTGGGATCGAATCAAACCAGTTAAAAGGCCAATTTAAAACGACCTTGACTACTCTAGATATACTTTCTGGAAGTGTGATGAGATGATTAAAACGGTAAATTTTCTTCTTGACAACATCTATGACATTTCGGAAATAAAGTTTATCGACAGGTTCCTTATTCTCCTAACGTATCCAAGTACTTATATATCCTTGGATTTCAATTTTTGGGGTTTAATATTAATGATAAAAGTAGATCCAGAAAAGCGCGTTGGATGTGCCAAATTTATAAAGTGTGTTATTTTGATATTGTACTGAAACTGAGATTGCATTACAAAAATTAATTTCGTTGATTTCTTATTTAGCCTATTAATACTATCGTGCGTTTGGCATAGTTAGATTGTTTCTGTCGTACCTTACTACGGAGTTGATTCAAGCAACAGTTGTGAGGCGCCCTGAAATCGGTATCATACTTTCATTTTATTTTCCGAGTGAGTTTCAGTTCAGGTTCATTTGTTTAACTAAATAAATCAGAGGCAACAGTAGTTCATCTTTGTTCAAAACTTGTTAATCCATTTTGAATATACAAACCAAGATAAAAAAAATTGAGGGAAATGCATGAACTCCAAATGAAGTTTGAGCGAATGAGTGAGTAAACAGGATATGCTATGCATGCGTGACCTGCCATGCGAACCAGTTATAATGTTTAAAGCCTTTCATTTTCCATGTGCTACAATATCAGAACCGTACCACGTTATTGATAACTTACACAATCTCTCACTTTCTGTGAGTTTAAGTGACAGACCGGTTCCATCTAACTGATAAGAATCGGCTGTTTGTTCTGGTGGACATCTAGCATTTTGTGACCTTGACATCATTACATCTGTCCAACTCAATCGCTCATACACCTGTAGAGACAAATTCTAGTGAATTAAGACTTTGTATTAAATATTAAGATTTATTGAATATTTACATCGGAATTCCAAGCTACTAATATTCAACAACCTACTATGTTAAGGGAGATATATTTTAAGTTACGACTTATGATATGAAACAGTCAAAAACTATTATTTTATACTCCAAACGGACTGTCGTCCTGAATATGTGTGAAATAACTGGGATCTATGTCGCAAAAGAAAAATTTTCTATTCAGAAACTTTGGCATAAATATTTTGCAAAATTTATTTAGTTTCTGTCAATATGTGTAAGTTTAGTTATGAATCAGTTTCTATTGTTTAAGAAGGATCCTTCATTTCTATTTGATTGTGTTCCAGAGATATATGAGCTGTTAATAATATTAAATACTTTATTGTTTATAGTAAGTATATCATCGCCATAGTGGAAGTTACGATTAAATTCCTGGATTATTTTTTTTGTTTTGTGAAATCCCTCGAACTAATTCTTCAGATGAGTAGAGAGAAAAACCACAAGAAACGGTGCATAACTGGTGCCCATAGGAAATACATGTATCTGTTGCATAATATGTCCAATAATCGATTAATCGATTAAAAAATTAATAATCTAAAATGTGTTTTTCTAGGTAAATTTTGTTTGAATCAGTGTGATTTCTGACAACGTTGTTCTTTTATCTACTTCAGAGCAAAGATACTTATCCTCTTTCTTTTTGAAAAGTAAAACGACTTTTTCTAAGATGTGTTACGATCAGTAAATTCTTTTAAATGATATTAAGGTCTGGCACAGAGTATAAAATCCAAAAGCAAAAGCGTAATCTTGTAAAAGGCACTTACCCAGCATCTGAAGTTTGAAATGGCGTCTTCCTCATCCCAAGTGATCAAGTACGACTTGTAATCTTCCATCCAGAACCCAACGCATGTCAACTCATGGTCAGACACATCTATACATATGAATTATTGACGAATCATACTAAAGAAATTAGAGTTAATGCCTCGCACAAGTTTAGATAGAGCTAATAAACTAACAACTATCAATGTATCATTTCAAAACTTACCGCAAAATATCAATGTTATTGTCGAAAATGCTTATTGCCCTGTTAGTTGCGTTTTTCTTCTTCCAAACTCGTTATTAATGACATTGTTTATTTGTCAACAAAATTAACTTTACCGTAGTTTGAACTCGAATGTATCATAAAAAAAATAATAAAAACAGCGTTCAAATGTCACATATTTTATCTATGCAAGGGAAATAACTCTTAAAAAACTTGACCAAGATATTGCTGATATGAACCTTAAGAATCATACAAAAACTTATTGTTTTAAAAAATGATTGCTGTTGATACCTACCATATTCTCCAATTGGACGTCCTCTGTAGTTCAATGTTTCGCAGTACTCAGCATCAACGGAGATTTTATTTACATCATTGGTACATGACTTCATTTCAGATACAGTAATTCGACAGTATATCTTAGACCTCGGTCGCTGTGTTACACCTCTGATTCTGGTGTTGAACTTTTCTGTTTTTGTCATATAAAATTGTTCAAAATGATATCGTCCGGCTATAGGACAAGGAAATGGAGCGGGTGGATTTACTGAAACGAAAAACAATTACTCTTATTTCAAAGACAACCATTAGAAAATATAGTATTTTTTGTTTAAAGTAAATAAATAAAGATGATATTTGTTAACTCCAGTTAAATTTTTCATATACATGTCTGTCCCGAAAATCATGAAGTGCTATCTTATACTTACGGATTAGGACTTCATATTTCCAATCAATTTCTTCTCGGTTAAAAGTAAATGACATCCAGCTACATGCTGCCCTAAATTTCTTGACTAGTATTTTGTTATTCCGTGCTTCGTCTTGTGATATTCTGACAGGTTTGCCTAAAGTTAAAATAGATAAGTTTTTGTATAAACAATATATATTGTTTTTGAGCTATAGTTTTTTTTTTACAGATGCTTAGTTTTTTTGATTTTGTGGTTTTTCTCTGTAGCTCGTCGTTGAAGAAGTACCAGCTTGTTAAAAAATTAAAAACAGACAAAAAAGCATGATATAGAGAATAATCAATAAATTCAAATGTTTCCACAATGCTTATAAAAATATGCATTAATCAAATCAAGTTCAGATCCATAAAACAAAGTTTATAGTATAATCCTGCGTAGTGCAAGTTAACGTCCAAAATCTAAATAGGTCTTATCAGGGTATACTACATGTATAATGTTTGCAATAAATAACCATAGGACGAAGAAAAGCAAATTGTGTAAAAGCAAAGACGAATGAATTGTTCGAGATGTCATAAGGAAAAACACAGAAAGTTTCACGATGAAAACCGTTAATCCTCAACCCGTAAAGTTAATTAGGACTTGTTTCTATGCATGAAACAATTTTAAGTTAAACAAACTTGATTTATTGTCGGACCTGTGACAAAATTGCCGTATTTGATTAACAAAATTGAGTAAAAATGTAACAAATAAGTTTAAATTTTTTCAAAGAGCAAATCATCCAGGAAAGCAAACGAGAATCACGTTACATCCTCAAGCAAACTACAATCATTCCCGCCTTTTATGGATGGATGGTTTGGATGGTGTTTAATGTCCAGTGGCAAAAATTACATGCATATGAAGACGAGAACATGTAAAATTTTTATGAATATGAACCCTGCGTTGTTCTAAGCGGAATTTATGACGTTATTTCACAAGGTAACAGTCCGAAATAAGATATGTCAACCTACCCGGATATAGAATTCTGGCTTCGAGCCCATATGGCTATGCTATTACTCCATAATACCGATAGCTCAGCGGAGAAACAGCAAATACCGATTTTCAAGACTCTGATTTGACCTGGCATGGGATTGAACCTATGACCTCCCTTCCTCCAGGCAAGCCGACTCCAACGATACCACCGATCAAGAAGGCGTAACCGTCTTTAAAGGGAGGATTCAAAATTATGGCAAGTTTGTAATGAGTAAATTTGGTAACCCGATAGATAATGATAATAGTTTATTTTGACGATACATACCTATCCTGTACCTCACAACACTATGGTGTCGTGGCAAGATGTCAAAACATACCAAGTCAACTTCGCTGTAAGTATAAACAAAGTAATATCATACCAAATTATAAGTAAACGTCTATGTAATAATGAACTGTATTTCTATAATCATGTTGTTTTTCTTATTTTTCATAAGCAAATCTAAATGAATGCCTCGAATTATATTCAAATGTCACCTTTTCCGTAATCTTTATCTTTTTCCTTGTTATTTGAGAAGTTAAGAAATAAAAATCAGTCCTTTATTCAAACGTCATTATACAATATTTACTGGTTGAATGACTATAATAATTATGATTTGCTTGCGAAGAAAAAGGCGAGACAGCGATTCTAGACAACTTTGTCATCGTATGATTAAAGTTTTTAAAACATCAATAACTTTGTCAAACATTAAGGGTTAAAGTTTTTAAACATCAATTTTAAATAAATGAGATGCGGTATGATTTCCAATGAGACAAATATCCAATAGAGACCAAAAGTACGCGGATGTAAGCAACTATTAGTCACCGTACGGTTTTCAACAGTAGTTTATAAAACATTCCGTATTGTCAGTTATAAACAAAATGTGAAACAACAATAACTGACTTATATGTTAATGACATTATATAGGCACATACAAAATATGGATGTGGGGAAAGGGATGGGTAATAACCTTGTTAAACCTTGCTGGAATTTCAAGACACGTTTACAAAATCTTCATAATCAAGAGATACATATGTACCATCATCTAGAGTAAAGTTTATAATTTTCTTTTAGTTTTTTTTTCCCGTATTTTACTAAATTCTGTTGGCAGTCAACTTTGGGTCAAGTCTGGGGTCAAACATTTAAGAACTTTAATAATTTTATAGAACCTTCAAGACTTTTGCCTAAACAGATAATACAGATATTCTAGAACTTGCAGTCACGGAGATGTGAGCTTTTCGTCGATGCTTAAGGCTTCACCCTATCTGACTTAGTGATTCTGTGTCATGAATTATTACACCATATTAGACTAAACAGTGAATATAAAATAATGAATTTTACGAGTGAAAATAAAATAATAGATTTTACCATTTGCCCTCTGTTACCCTTGTCATCATGTATCGTGTGTCTTTTGACTGCTGACAGGAGAAGTACGAATTCCTCAGTGTAAACTGGTTTAATCTGGTTTTAAATGTTATATGTGTTTCATTAATTAAAACATCAGATTTAAACTGTTTCCCTTGTGTGAACCAATTTCCCGATATATTCCTTGGTAACACACAATGAGGCTGGAGAAAATTCGTAGGTGGCAGAACTGAAAATTAATCGAAGCAGGAATAAGTGTAAGATTGTGCTGCACAGGATGGCGTGGAAAAGAGAGGACTAAGAAAATCTTCAGTGACTGTAATATCAAAGTCTTAAAACATGTCAGTATTTTCATTGTACTATTTGTAAATTCTTATAGCGATATATACAGTGTAAACGTTCACTTAATCAAAATCGCATCTAATATTGTTCTTATTTTGTGGGAGAAGGGGGCTAATAAGCTTATTCATGTGCAATAAAAGTGTAACATCTAATAACAATTATATTTTTAATTTCTACAAGTCAAACCCATTATTATTGGACCCGTAACTACTCGTCATTCCAGACAATCCGAGCTCACTCAATCTTTAGGTTTCTATCAAAGAGTAGTTGAATAGTTTAAACAATATTTTATTCAAATACATTGAATTGGATAGGACACAGGCCTATGTAAGCCCTATTCACAAGAGTATTTTAACCGTGGTACTGGAAAGTCTTTCCTATTGATAAAGTGATAACAGGCAATACATGCCCTCAATTTTAGAATTCATTCATACATTTTTGTATTATTCAAAATTATCAGTAAATTATGTGTTCTACAAGGATCACTAGTCCTTTACCTTTCACCTGATACCTCAACTACTAAAATATATGCTACATCGTTTTAGATTCACACCTATGCGTAGGAACTTTTTTTTTACTGTACTACTTTCCAGTATGTTCTTTATTTACCAGGTCCGATTAGGTGGTGTTACATATTACAAAGTCTATCCAAATTTATTTTTGCAAAGAATTCCGCTCAAGCGGGTACTAGGGACCATCTTAAACTTGCAGTGATGTGAGTTTCTTTGCTCCGTGTTGAAGGCCTCACTGTGACTTTAAGATGAAGAACAGCAATAAAAGCGCTGTTCTTTTGCTTATTGTGTGTTTTTTTGCTGTGCATGTACTGATTTTGTGTCATGGATGGATACCCCATGTCCTTTGTTTTTCTATTATAATTTCACAGTGAAAAAAAACAACATTAAAACACATTTGTTCAGCGTACACTTGTTTTTTAAGATATAGTTGAAGTGTTTTTTTGTTATTTTTACTGAACATTACCTTAAGACTGCGAATGATTCTAGGACAAATATATAATGAAGTAGATCTCGAGTATAAACAAATAAGAAAAACCATAAATATAAAACGTTTGAGATTTATAAAACAGGAAAAGCCGAAAACAGATTACGTCCAATATATCCTTTGTCTGAAAGAGAAGCTCAAATGCATCGCTTAAAGCATGCATGTGTTGACGCACTGGCTGTTTGGCGGGTGGGACAAAATAAAACGATTAAATAATTGTATGTAATGTACATCTATACATAAAAATATATAAAAGAACGATAGAGAAAGTTTATCTCAAACTCAACTTCTAGATAGGATTTTAATTCTACTTACCTCTTCTTAATATGAGCTTCCGGTCGCCATCGTAGATACTGTTTAAAGAATTACAATTTGGAAATCTACTCATCACCCAACGAACCCAGTTATTCGGATCCTTCTGGTCTTTCATGGTCATCTAATATTAGGCAATTGCATGAGTTTTAGAAAGTGCAAAATACTTGTATACTTTTATCGGGCACTTCTTTTCAATTGTTGTTTTTATCATTCACAGATATTTTTTTTATGGTAGTATTGCTTGATTGTTGTTTGCTAAAAGTCCAGTGACAATTATTTTATGCAAATTCGGGACAAGAAAAATTGAATATTTAATATAATAGATAGGTTTTGCAAGGAAGGCCCGCCGAAATTTAAGGCGGGAAATTTGAACATATATATGTGGGTATGATAAAAGGGGCAGACATTTTGCCTTGTCAAAAGACACCAACAGACCGGTCATGGATATCAGGCTTATAATTTTGAACACCAGGCGTGCTTTTCGTTTATATAAGACTCATCAGTGGTTCTCGAATTAACAGTTGAAAGGCCAAAATCAAATACGAAGTCGATTGCTTTAAAAACCGAAAATTCCTTAAATCACTTTTAAGGCAATCTATACCTGGGGTAGACACGTGCACATATTAGTGTTTCCAATTCAGCATTTAATATACAGTAAATTTACAGAAAATAAACATCTCAATGATATTTAATGTCAAACCCCACACGTGGCAGGTGCTTTCGACTCCGATCTTAATTGACTAAAATAGACATTTTCCTGCCGAAGGTCGATGGTTGTCTCCGGGCGCTCCGGTTTCACTTATACATTGTCAAATTGTATAATTGTATTATTGTTTTAAAACAAAACTTACCATGCATTTAAATTTCTCTCTAATATCAGCTTCAACCACTGCGGCAACTGCAGCAAAAATATAGCCAACACCATTCTTAACAGCATACCAAGATCCCATACATCTATATCGTATACCTGTTACATAGATGCAGATGGTATATATTTGTAAGTTTTGGTAATTTCACAAATGTTGTATTTTGGATTACTGAAACTACCTATAGTTTGTTGTTTTGTTCACTAAAAGCCACCGAAAGTATCATTCATGCCGTTTTAATAGATTTGACGACATTAAGAAATTTTGAGGAATTTAGGTCTTGTTTTACTCTTTATTTTTTTAGATAATTTCTCCTGTGTATATTATAACCCTTCTATTTTTTTAATTTTCGGGAAAAATTATAAATCAGAATCTATTTAAAATCATTTTCATATTCTCAGAATTTTTGTTGTTGTTGTTTTTTTTTTGTGTTCTACCGTCTGTGTTTATTGGTCATGCTTACAATATTTAGGCATTCAAATCTAAACTTATAACTTAGACAAAAATACTTAAGTTCCAAGCATACTTTGATCCTTGGATGTAGAAACATCATAGCATCTGGAATAATTCATCTGGAAATACTTGTTGTCTACATATGCTGATCCTGGATCTTGACAAGCAGCTATTATACTGTTGGAATTGTTACAGATCCCCCCTCTCGACATGGCACCTCCGACCTCATATGTAAACTGGTACATTCCTTCTATTGTTGTTATACAGTTAATATCGATTGGACTTATTCCTTTGAAATAAACACAAAACACTATTTTGTATTATCAATAATGATAACAAATACAGTTTTTTCCTGTCCCTGCCCATTGTTATTCTATATAATCAATATGACAGAGATGTCCAACGGTACACAAATAGACAAAAGTTAAGTATAGCTTTTAATTTCAGCTTTTGTAGGTAGGAAAACCTTCATCTTTACTTACTAAAAAAACGTATGAACTGATTCTCATTCCCCTGAATAACCTCTGCTATAGCGATACTATACTCAAAATAATAACACCTTACTATGCATGTAGTATATGTTATAATAACATGATGATGAATGACAAATAAATATGACGAATTGGACCCCTAATGGCGGATTCGGGGATTAATGGCGTCTCTCTCTCTCTTACTCATTATCTTTTTCACTCACTTTCTATCTCTTTTAGTCACTCGTTTTGACTCACTGGATATATCCCTCTGTATCTCATTTACTCCCTCACGTTCAATCACTCTCTCTCTCGTTCACTAACTCTTTTGTTCGCTCAATGTCTCGTTTACTGACTCACTCTTTCTAATAGAAAAATAAAGGAAATGGGGTATCCATTCATGACACAAAATCATTCTATCTTGTTCTTCTGTTACCTTTTTTCGCTCTCTGTCTCGTTCTGTCACTGTTTTTCGCTCTCTGTCTCGTTCACTCACTCGCGTTCTTTCGCTTTCACTCACACGTGCTTTTTTCACTTTCACTCTCTTGAACAATCAGTTAATCTCTTGTTCACTCACGTACAAGCTTTTTCTCACTCTCTTTTGTTATCTTAACCACACATACTCACTCATTCATTTGCACCTTCACTCACTTGCACACTACCTCTCTCACAACCACCTACCTTCACTCAGACACACACTGTCTGTCTCACTCACTCATTTGCACACGATCTGTCTCAGACAGACTCCTTCTATCTCACCCACACTATCATTCACTGTCTGAATCACTCTGTCACTGTTTCAACCAAACTGTGTCTCACTCATTCAATCTCTCACTCACTCAGTCTCTTACTCACTCACTCGTTCTCTCTCTAATTCACTCACCTACTCACCTCACGTCTCCCAGTGAATCCTCTTACTACTTCAAACCCAAAAAGTAATCAAAGAGAATCCTTATGGCTACGATATTATAGAAGTTCTACTCCTTCATGACTGTGGATGCCACAGTCCATCGAGGAGGACACCAGTGTCTATTATTGTCTAGGAGTTAATTGGTTCACTTACCTCCTGTTACCTTCATTAGGTATGAGTACAAAAATTAAGTAAACCATTCATTACAATATAAAATAGATATTTTGTGGTATTTTCATATTTTATATTGGACAATTCTATTTGGAATGTAGAACCCATTATATTTTGTTTCCATATGCACTTTGCTTGTTTAATATCTTTTTACTTCTCTAGTTCAGTTAGCTATATATTTTTGTTCTTATGTGTGTCCTTAAAACATTAATCATGATGAAATAAAGGGTGCTAACCGTGTTTCCTTTATATTTCATTGTAATTCAACAACATAACAATATATAACTTCTAGGTATAACATTTAAGATATTTTAAACCAGTTCACGTGTAATCAGTAAAGTGGTAGAATATAAACACAACCTTAGGACGCAATATAAAACGAACAAGACGTCTGTTTGAACCTCCCTCAAAACGGGGTAAGTTCGGTTTTTTTTTACGGATATATATTTCTAAAAATCACTACAAGTTTTGAACAACACCGCAATCTACACAAAGTACCAGTAACTAACTCGCTCAATAGAAAGCTACAACAAACACAAAAATACAAAAAAAAAACAATAAAAAGCATTAACGAAGAATATGTAAAGACTTTCTCGTTTCAGTCACAAAATGTGCGATAATGCTGATATTCATTTTTCCCATCTCAAAACACCGTCTCAGACACCCATCATAAACAAATAAACCATACAATCACTGACACTGCTGCTGTAGTACTAGTAATGTATATGCATATAAATTATATATTTGTTGAGATGTATATAAACTATACATTTGTTGAGATGCATGTAAACTGTACATCTGTTGAGATGCATATAAACTGACTGTGCATCTGTTAAGATGTATATAATATGTACATCTTCAAAGATGCATACTAACTGTATATTTGTAAAGTGTATAGACATCTTTTCACGTATGTACAGTTTATATGCATCTCAACGGAATGACGTTTCATATACTTTTTACGTATGTACAATTTATATGTACATTGTATATGCATCTTACTTAATGTACATCAAGATTGCTTGTACTAAAGTAGCTGTGTAGGTACACGTGGGCAACTAAGCTATATACAATATAGCTTTCGTTAGTCGAGTAATACCAATATTCGGATATGCCTCACTCTTTACTTACTGAACATCGTAGTAGTACTTTCCATGTCAGGTAGGCCTTCGGAAATACCTCTACAAATACTAATGTTAGAACCATTCGAACTCTTTATGCAATGCTCTGTAAAAAGACAAAAGTATTTTAATACTAAGTATATCTGAACAAGAAGCGATAAATGCCTATTAGGTAAATTTGTGTTTCGGATCTTGGTCCGAGTACACAGTTATTTCGTAGTGCATTTCTTTTAGACAATAAATGAAAATTAAAAAAATCCCACCTGCGCTTTCTCAATAATATTTTTACAGTGTGTTGTACTACTTTTGGGACAAATTATATCAAAATTATAGAAAACTTCATCGGCTCTAACTCAAAATATGGACAATTTCATGCTGAGGGGGTCTTCAAATCTTTTGACAGCCTCCGAAGTGCTAATTTTTAACATTTTTCAGCTGGACCAAATCACTACTTTACTTTAAAATTCATGACCCAAATTTTTTTACAGTGTCATTTCACCCCCCTACTTACTATTTGAGTCATAAAACATGGAGAAATAAATTCGGAAGGGGTATAAAAAAAATCGACAAGTAACACACTGTCCACACTAGGGACTATATTCGTGGACAACGAAAATCAAAGGACGATAACTGTGTACCCGGACCTAATAGGGTAGAAAAAGTTGACCAATCTTAATGAAACTTGGTATGACCAAAGCTTATTAAATTATAAGACTGCTTACAAAGTTTCATGGCAATAGGATATATATTATAGACAATATGACTACTTCTATATTCAACTTTGAGTGTTAAATTTAGATGTTAAAATTGAAAATTTTCAACTATCAACATTTGGGGCTTAAAAAATTTAAATATTGCAAAAAAATACTTTTGAAATGCCTTAATATATAATATATTATGTATTAAAAGCAATAGAGTACTCATTTGATTTATCAGACTTATCATAATTATTAAAAAGTCAAATTTATATGAGCCTGTGGCTAAAAATGGAGGTTTTCCAATGAAGGGGGGCCTTACATGAAGATGTAATATTTTCCAGCAATTTTAAATTTGTAAAGCTTTTTGGTTATAAATAATCCTTACATATGTATTTAATGTACTTTAAATGGAAAGAAAACTTACAAATAACATATCACATTAGTTTAAAAGGGTCTTAGGCCAAGTAAGACTGAAAATAATTTAGGGTCAATTTAGGCCGTATCACATATTTACATTTAAAAATGCATATTGAAGCTATATGAAATAAAATTTTGTGTCTTTTCTATCATTTCTATACTCAGGTGACATGATACAATAAATCTGAGCACAAAAAGACTCTTGCATTCAACTTTTTTTGCAAACAGTATGGTCTGATACAAAGATTTTTCACTTTTTAGTGAAAAACATGCATGCAATTTTAGTCTCAACAGGCTTATATTTGAACCACTTGCTATCCTACAGAAGAAAAGAAAGATATTATGTGACATAAAACAGGTACAAAAGACATTGTTAAGTGCTTTTTATACAAATTTAGTGAGGTCTTTATAATGGACTTCAACTTTTATGTTCCAAGCTCCTCACATTTAACTCGATCCAAACAGGGCGTTAGACGAGGACCATATATACAACACATTTTGAACATATTGTCTGAGATAATCTTCTTTTCTGTAGATTCAGAGTTCACAAATGAGTAATACAACTGGATTGAAGCATAGAAACACAAATATTGACACATAAAAACCTGTCAGATAGAAAGTCAGAATGCCACTTATGCATCAAAATTGAAAAAGCTATGAAATGCTTATTTTGACAATAAAATGCCAAAATTGGTCATTTTTGCAGAAATTCTATCAAATAAAAGTTTTAATCCTTTAGTTTTATGCTATTTGATAAATTGACACCATCAAATCATTCAGGGAAGTTGCCAAAGTACAGATTCTATATTTCCTGATTTCACCTCTTAGGTCCGAGTACACAGTTATTTCGTAGTGCATTTCTTTTAGACAATAAATGAAAATTAAAAAAATCCCACCTGCGCTTTCTCAATAATATTTTTACAGTGTGTTGTACTACTTTTGGGACAAATTATATCAAAATTATAGAAAACTTCATCGGCTCTAACTCAAAATATGGACAATTTCATGCTGAGGGGGTCTTCAAATCTTTTGACAGCCTCCGAAGTGCTAATTTTTAACATTTTTCAGCTGGACCAAATCACTACTTTACTTTAAAATTCATGACCCAAATTTTTTTACAGTGTCATTTCACCCCCCTACTTACTATTTGAGTCATAAAACATGGAGAAATAAATTCGGAAGGGGTATAAAAAAAATCGACAAGTAACACACTGTCCACACTAGGGACTATATTCGTGGACAACGAAAATCAAAGGACGATAACTGTGTACCCGGACCTAATAGGGTAGAAAAAGTTGACCAATCTTAATGAAACTTGGTATGACCAAAGCTTATTAAATTATAAGACTGCTTACAAAGTTTCATGGCAATAGGATATATATTATAGACAATATGACTACTTCTATATTCAACTTTGAGTGTTAAATTTAGATGTTAAAATTGAAAATTTTCAACTATCAACATTTGGGGCTTAAAAAATTTAAATATTGCAAAAAAATACTTTTGAAATGCCTTAATATATAATATATTATGTATTAAAAGCAATAGAGTACTCATTTGATTTATCAGACTTATCATAATTATTAAAAAGTCAAATTTATATGAGCCTGTGGCTAAAAATGGAGGTTTTCCAATGAAGGGGGGCCTTACATGAAGATGTAATATTTTCCAGCAATTTTAAATTTGTAAAGCTTTTTGGTTATAAATAATCCTTACATATGTATTTAATGTACTTTAAATGGAAAGAAAACTTACAAATAACATATCACATTAGTTTAAAAGGGTCTTAGGCCAAGTAAGACTGAAAATAATTTAGGGTCAATTTAGGCCGTATCACATATTTACATTTAAAAATGCATATTGAAGCTATATGAAATAAAATTTTGTGTCTTTTCTATCATTTCTATACTCAGGTGACATGATACAATAAATCTGAGCACAAAAAGACTCTTGCATTCAACTTTTTTTGCAAACAGTATGGTCTGATACAAAGATTTTTCACTTTTTAGTGAAAAACATGCATGCAATTTTAGTCTCAACAGGCTTATATTTGAACCACTTGCTATCCTACAGAAGAAAAGAAAGATATTATGTGACATAAAACAGGTACAAAAGACATTGTTAAGTGCTTTTTATACAAATTTAGTGAGGTCTTTATAATGGACTTCAACTTTTATGTTCCAAGCTCCTCACATTTAACTCGATCCAAACAGGGCGTTAGACGAGGACCATATATACAACACATTTTGAACATATTGTCTGAGATAATCTTCTTTTCTGTAGATTCAGAGTTCACAAATGAGTAATACAACTGGATTGAAGCATAGAAACACAAATATTGACACATAAAAACCTGTCAGATAGAAAGTCAGAATGCCACTTATGCATCAAAATTGAAAAAGCTATGAAATGCTTATTTTGACAATAAAATGCCAAAATTGGTCATTTTTGCAGAAATTCTATCAAATAAAAGTTTTAATCCTTTAGTTTTATGCTATTTGATAAATTGACACCATCAAATCATTCAGGGAAGTTGCCAAAGTACAGATTCTATATTTCCTGATTTCACCTCTTAGGTCCGAGTACACAGTTATTTCGTAGTGCATTTCTTTTAGACAATAAATGAAAATTAAAAAAATCCCACCTGCGCTTTCTCAATAATATTTTTACAGTGTGTTGTACTACTTTTGGGACAAATTATATCAAAATTATAGAAAACTTCATCGGCTCTAACTCAAAATATGGACAATTTCATGCTGAGGGGGTCTTCAAATCTTTTGACAGCCTCCGAAGTGCTAATTTTTAACATTTTTCAGCTGGACCAAATCACTACTTTACTTTAAAATTCATGACCCAAATTTTTTTACAGTGTCATTTCACCCCCCTACTTACTATTTGAGTCATAAAACATGGAGAAATAAATTCGGAAGGGGTATAAAAAAAATCGACAAGTAACACACTGTCCACACTAGGGACTATATTCGTGGACAACGAAAATCAAAGGACGATAACTGTGTACCCGGACCTAATAGGGTAGAAAAAGTTGACCAATCTTAATGAAACTTGGTATGACCAAAGCTTATTAAATTATAAGACTGCTTACAAAGTTTCATGGCAATAGGATATATATTATAGACAATATGACTACTTCTATATTCAACTTTGAGTGTTAAATTTAGATGTTAAAATTGAAAATTTTCAACTATCAACATTTGGGGCTTAAAAAATTTAAATATTGCAAAAAAATACTTTTGAAATGCCTTAATATATAATATATTATGTATTAAAAGCAATAGAGTACTCATTTGATTTATCAGACTTATCATAATTATTAAAAAGTCAAATTTATATGAGCCTGTGGCTAAAAATGGAGGTTTTCCAATGAAGGGGGGCCTTACATGAAGATGTAATATTTTCCAGCAATTTTAAATTTGTAAAGCTTTTTGGTTATAAATAATCCTTACATATGTATTTAATGTACTTTAAATGGAAAGAAAACTTACAAATAACATATCACATTAGTTTAAAAGGGTCTTAGGCCAAGTAAGACTGAAAATAATTTAGGGTCAATTTAGGCCGTATCACATATTTACATTTAAAAATGCATATTGAAGCTATATGAAATAAAATTTTGTGTCTTTTCTATCATTTCTATACTCAGGTGACATGATACAATAAATCTGAGCACAAAAAGACTCTTGCATTCAACTTTTTTTGCAAACAGTATGGTCTGATACAAAGATTTTTCACTTTTTAGTGAAAAACATGCATGCAATTTTAGTCTCAACAGGCTTATATTTGAACCACTTGCTATCCTACAGAAGAAAAGAAAGATATTATGTGACATAAAACAGGTACAAAAGACATTGTTAAGTGCTTTTTATACAAATTTAGTGAGGTCTTTATAATGGACTTCAACTTTTATGTTCCAAGCTCCTCACATTTAACTCGATCCAAACAGGGCGTTAGACGAGGACCATATATACAACAC